TTTTTATAGTTTGTTATGACCTATAGTTGACAATAACTACATCATTTTGGTCTCTGGTGGATAGTTGTCTCATTGCAATCATACCACATCTTATTTTATATAAGTTATCGATATACCCGCAAAGAAATGACATTTTCATGTCGAAAGTGGCGGCCGTAAATATTGCTATGATAGAACGGTATTTTTGAAAATTTAGTGATTGAAAATTTGTATAGTCGACAAAATTTCATCATTCTTTGGCCAATGATGGACACCCTGAAAGCTGATATGTATGGAGAAAATTGCATTTGCTTTGTCTTCAAGAGACTAATTCACTCCTGTTGTTCTGTACCAGCGTTTAAAAAGGGTAATTGAGTTTTTTTTCATTGCACTGAATTATTATTTTCTGTTTAATTTGGGAGTAAATAATCTACGTATGTAACAGTATGTTATCGTCGAACTTTGATGCAATATTGAACATCTCAAATCAAATCAAATAAGTTTGATTTTAAGCTGGCATGTTAAATAACAATACAACTTAGGCTCTGAGCGAGCATTTGAACCACCAAACATAATACATTAAGGCCAAGGAACAGTAAATGGCCTATGTCACAGATTTTCGTATAATTTTGCATACAACTTTGGCTCGTTTTTAATAGAAATATAACTGAAAATCGAAAAAAAATAATGCATTTATCTCTTTTATTGTTTGAAATATTACTGATTGAATTCTTTTAAAATAGGTGAGCCTTTGTATAGAAATCACATAGAATAAGCGAAAAACGTTCCTAAATTTGTCTTAAAATCATAAAATCTCCAATTTCTAGTACATAGATTTTTCTTAAAAAACTATATGTTGTTTGTACATGAATTTCCGTTTTAATGTCAGATGTAAAATGATCATTGGGTCATACCAACAACATATAGTTTTTTAAGAAAATTCTATGTACTAGAAATTGGAGATTTTATGATTTTAAGACAAATTTAAGAAGTATTAAAGAAAATAAAAAAGATAAATGCATTATTTTTTCGATTGTCACATTATTATATACAGAGCTTGCAGACACAATATGACAACACAAGATATGCACTAGTTTACAATTACACAATCGTCACATAAAAAAGAGTACCAAGCATAAAAGCAGATAGAATTAAGTTGATCTAGCATATAACATAGCAATCTAATTAAAATGTTGATCTCTGATTTCGTTATGTTCATACACTTCGACGAGCGCGCGAATTCCGTCAGATCTGAATTTTAATCAGATTGATAATATATAGCAACTAAAACTATTAGCACTTAAAATAAGCAAACCTTAAGTAGAAGCTAGAATATAACACACAAACAAAGGAAATATGGTTTCAACAATAAATCAAATCAAATCAAATCAAATATTTTATTATTCCAATCATGGTCCCTCCTAAGTTCAAAATTGGACATGATATTTAGATATTTTTCGAAACCATAATTATTCTTAAATTTTACATAAGTGCGGAGCTTCCCTTCTGAATTCTTGGTCAGTTGATCCTTCCAAATTTTTATGCATGTCTCTTTCAATATTTTCTTGATGGTATTTTTTGAAATATTTTTCCCATCATTTAGGTTTGCAAACCCAGGAAGAGTTTTTAAAATTTGTTGGAGAGAGCCATACCATGACGATTTATGCTGAGAAAATAAAGTTTTTGAATGCTGGTATGCATCTTGTAATAAAGGAAATGAGTCTAAGTTTTCTAGTCTAAGCCAATAATTCAAAATAGATTTGACTAAGTCAAAGTACAGTGGAAACCGACCAAGTTCAGATAAGGCTGCAAAATTTGTGGTTTTTTTGTGCACACCAGAATAAATTTACAAAATTTACTGTGTAGCTTTTCACAAGTTAAATTCGAATAAATTTTATCTAATATTAACTGGTTTCCAGATCTAAATTTTGCTATAAAGGGATTAAATGAGCTCCAAATTTCACTTCCATAAAGAAGTATAGGCTTAATAGTATGATCAAAAACATGTATACTAGTTTTTAAGCTAGGATTTAGAGATAATAAATCTTTTCTAAGTTTAAAATATGCTTTTAAAGCTTTCTTGTATAATTCATTCTGAGCATAGGAGAATGTACCTGAAGCACTAAAATACACACCTAGATATTTACAATGTTGTACACATTCTATATCATATTCTTTGTATTTAAATTTGAGGAGGATATGTCTGCCTGCCTTGTTGAAAATCACAATTTTTGTTTTATTTGGGTTGAGAGTAAGACACCAATCTTGACAATATTTTCCCATAATATCAAGTTTTGATTGAAGACCAGAAGCTGTAGTAGATAGTAAAATGATATCATCGGCATACATCAGACAATGGATAGATCGCCCATTTATATTTACAGGGTCTAGAGATTTTTCCAAATAGTTGGGAAGGTCATTGATGAAAACCTTAAACAGGTTAGGACTTAGATTATCTCCCTGTTTAACTCCAAGCTGTATAGGGAAGAAATCAGTAATGCTGTTCTTAATTCGAATGCAGGATTTGCTTACCTCATACATTTGCTTAATGATATTGTAAAATAATGTGCCTACACCAATTTTCAAAAGCGTAATTTTCAATCCAGTGTGAATAACAGTGTCAAAAGCCTTTTGAAAATCAACAAAGCAGGCATACACCCTACCGTCTTTTGAATTACAATATTCATCTATAATACATTTCAAAATAAATAAATGATCTATATAGGTTTGAACGTTGTTTTCAATTTAGACTTGTATATATACACGTATAAACATGTGACAACTTTATGACAGACTTTCTCCATCGAATAACACGTGGTTATACAGGGCTAACACCACATATATAATTCGTCTCAAATTTAGCCCAACAATGTTAGCAAATTTTTGTTCTTCCCTCAGCGGGTTTATATATGTAGGACTCTAAAGTGCGATGGTACTCTTAAGTGCGATGGTCACGCTAAAGTGCGATGGTCTACGCTAAAGTACGATGGTGTCTCACGCTAAAGTGCGATGGTATTTTGTTTGCTAATGCACGATGGTATATCACGCTAAAATGCAATGGACCAATAGTATAGATTTGGGGGATTAAAACGATAAAGTACATGGATTAAAAAAAAAAGTCTTTTTGCAATAGCTAGTATATACATATGCTAAGGTATAACATATGTGATAGGCTTAGTTATAATTTACCGATAGGCTTAAGTGATTGTTTCTAAATTTAGAAGACCAACCACGTACTAATTGCTAAAAAAATATTTTAGGTGTCACAAAATACTGTATGTCCTGTTAAATGTTTTTTTTCACAATTCGGGCGTATTAAATATTTGAATAATTGGTGTAGCTTGCCGTAATTAAAAATAGTAAGTCCACTTAGTTTACATAGATTTCTTCAAGATATTAAGTTGCTGAAACAGTTTTTTTACGTATGGATTTAATATGGTAATCAAAATTTAGCATAAAATCTATATTTACACATAAAAGCTTTAGAGTTTCTTAACAAGATATATCAGTATTTCCATGTTTAAAAGAAAGAGATTACCCACTGACTGTTTACAAACAGCAATAGCTTGGAATTTGTCAGAATTTGCTTGCATATAATTAAATTAAAACCAGTCGATCAAAATATTACTCGTAGAATCGAAAGCTGTAGTCAGTTCCTCGTAATTTGGAAAATAAAGAAAAATAAAGAAAAAGACAAAGTATTGTCGTCAGCATAGTTGTATAAGTTACCCTTTTAAATGAAAATTATGAAATGTCGTTAATGAAAACAATAGAAAGTAACGGGCTCAATTTTGATCCTTAGGGCACTTTTTCTGTATAATTGCCCAGCTACTAAAATTACCCAAAATATTTACCTCTTGCTTTCTTTTAGACAGATATGATAATAATAACATAGTAGCATTGTCAGATATACCATAGGAGGTAGCACTTTTAAAAAAAAGCTAAAGAGGATGGGGAGAATCAGCTAAAATGTTTGTAGTTATTTTTCAAGAAAGGACCATTCTTCTTCTTAAAAACTGGTGTAACAGGTGCCTCCTTTAGTCTATCTTGAAAAAAAAATGATTCAATAAATGAATAAACCATGTAGGTAATAGGTTTAACAATTGCTGGTTTATAGCATTTCATTAGTTTCCCATATATTTTTTCCGCACATGTAGCCTTTTTTTACATCAAATTTATATATAATTTTGGCAATCTAATCAAAATACAGATTCCGTGTCAAAGCTTTGCTACTTTCTCCACACTGGTTGGATGAAAATTAAAAAAAAGGTTTTCTGAAGAAAAAATCTTCTCAATTTTTTGTAAACTTGGATGATTGTTTTCGTAAAAAATATGTTCTTCGCCAATATATTTGGTTACATTGAGGGAAAATTGAATTAAAACCTTTGCCGGTACATCTTCGCTTTTTGATACAATATACTTTGTTTTCATTTTCATGCAAAATTATTTCTGGCTTGGAATTTCTAGCCTTTTTTGAAAAATAATGCTGAATGGTTAATCTATAGAAGAAGACTAAGAAGAAAATTATCATAAAGAAACACAAAATATACCTGCATGCGCGTGAATATCAAGCAAGAATTTTTCACGGTATAGTCAGAGATTATGTATTATATATGAGAGTCTGGGTGAGGGGTCCTTCATTTATTTAGTTATTCTTTATTTTTTCTACCATTTTATTTGTTCTTTATCTATATGCCCATTTTTCTCTATTCTTTATATTTTTTCATCTCATTATTCTCTATTCTTTATTTTTGTCTATTTTTTATTCCCCCCCCGCTTTATTCTGCATTTTTTTGCCCATTAATCTATATTCTGTAAACCCCAACCAGACCCTATTATATATCTCTAGGATAGTATGCACTTATTCTATGTATATTAAAAAAAAGTAAATGTTAAGATGTGGTTTCCAAATAAACTTTTAAACAGTAGATACCGAAATAAACGAACAATGTTGTTTTATTTGATAACGACCTCGTTTAGGAGATCAGATGTATCTCTAGAACGAAAAGTCAAAAGGAGTACCAAACGACCGATGTCTGCAATGAAATCAACAAGTGGGCTTTCAAAGTTATTTCAGAGAACTTTCCTCGAAAATTATAAACAAAACCCATTGCAAACATGCTACAGATGTCTTTCATCAGCTGCACCAAACTCCAAACAATCATGGACTGATAAATACAAGACGAAAAAGAAAAAGATACGAGGTCTGAATGCCAACTCCTTCAATTTGTTCAAACATTTGAAACATTCTTATTCAAGACTAAATGTTTGAAAATTAGCTAAAAAATCATGAAAATCTAACCCACAGACTGAGAAAAATAGCCAAAATTTTCTTTGTGAGAAACTGGCCAATGTAGATAAAAATATCTAATTCCTCCAGAGCAGCTAGGGCTCAGGAATTATTTTGGAATGTGGCCTCTTTTCAATACTATGTTAAAAATAATATAATTTCTTGAGCCCCCGTCTTTACAGGAGCATGTATCTGAGATGTTTTTCTGTTATAAATATGTGCCAGTTGACGGAAGTGCATTCTAGATTGTGTATTTTCTGCAACTAATCATTGCGATACATAGAAAGGATGAGAACACTAAGTTTGTGTTGAGTTCATCACTTTTACTTTTAACAGTATTTTGATATGAAAAACATGATTCATTGTTGAAATTCATCAAAAGTGACACTTTATTTGAGTTTATATGATTAGATCCTCTTTGTTTACAATTATGATGTGACAGAATATTTATTCTGAAAACAATTTAACGTAGAAAAGGCCACTAAGGCTCTTTACGAAGTGTTAAGACTAGGTCGTCTTCATAATCTTTCTATATGTAGTCAGTTGGACTTATTTGATAAAATGGTGAAACCAATATTACTGTACGGTTGTGAAGTATGGGGTATTGGAAATAATGACATAATTGAAAGGGTACAACTGAAATTTTGTAAATTATTATTAGGTCTGAAAACATCAACACCCTCTTACATGATTTATGGGGAGCTTGGAAAATATCCTATAGACTTGGACATAAAAACTAGATTGATCTCATTTTGGGGTAAATTAAATTCTGGTAAAGTGACGAAACTATCATATACTTTATATAAATTGTGTTATCACATGTCTATTAATGACAATGTGAATTTTTCATGGTTAAACAGAGTAAAGACTATTTTAAATGAATGTGGTATCCCAAATGTATGGGAAACACAATCATTTATAAATTGCATATGGTTAGTTTCATTCATCAAGCTCAGACTTAAAGATCAGTTTGTACAAGTCTGGCATTCTCTGCTTGAAAACTCACCAAAAGCACTTAATTATAAACTTTTTAAAGATTTTTTTGGAAAAGAAGATTATTTTGAAATTCTTGGGAACAAACTATCTATTGATTTGTGTAGATTTAGGACCACAAATCACAAGCTCCCTATTGAACAGGGTAGATGGAACAATATAGTTAGAAATAATAGACTGTGTCTTCTATGTAATAAAAATGACATTGGTGATGAATTTCATTACATATTAGAATGTAAATACTTTGAAGAAAACAGGAAACATTGTATGTCACATTATTATTTTAAAAATGCAAATATTGTAAAATACAAGCAGATTATGTCTTCAAAACACAAATCAAAACTGATTAAACTTTGTAAATTTATAAAGATTATCAACACAGGTATATGTGCTCCTGGCTAAAATTTATTTCATACATTGTCTTATCAATTGTCTTGTTTGTTCTGTCTTATTGTAAATACTGTACATAAATGTCTTCTCTATACCTATGTATATGGTTTATTGAGAATAAAGATATAGATAAATAACAACAAGGGTACTCTTTGCTATATATAATTTTCTTGCGTACTCAAATCAATCATATTTTTAAATATATAATTATTAATTATCAGTTTCAAAATAAAAAAAATCTTTTATTTTGAAAGAGAAGATTGCATGAGTCTGTCTGTTTGTCCATGATCATTCATTCATCCTTCTGGTCCACTTTTGTATCAACAACTGCTCCTGAACTGCTTTAGTTTTTATCTTATTTAGATGATTTACATTTGAACCTCTTATTTCATTTCTTCATCTGAATTATTTTTGTTAAATTTACTTTGGCATGACATGAACTTTTTTGTTACTGCACCAAACACAATTTTATAGCTGCTTTTCCTGCTAAACACCCTATTAAAATTCAATGAAACTTTCTCAGGGATTTCACCATATGATAATTCCATTGTGTATCTCTTATTTTGTTTTTTGGTCTGATTTTTTTTGGGGTTCCTAAGCAAGTCATGTACCTCTCCATTGCTTAACTTAAACCCCTTAGGCCAATGAAAAATAATTTTTGGTTTCCCCTAACCCTGCCAGGTCAGTTTAAATCTGCCTGGTCAAACTTTTTTATTGGATTTAAAAAAAAAAACAAAAAAAAAAGTCAATCAGCTTGGTCTGTCCTAGACACTGTAGCAATTTTGACTATTTTGTTTTAAGTTCATATAATATGTTAAATCTCTAATATCATATTTAAATGATTAATAGTTGGAAGGTAGAACAATAACAACACTCATATTATAAATCTTTAAAAGCAACATAAACCTAGGTTTATTTTTTGGCATTGAATCCAAACAACACAAAATGAAAATTATAAAAATAAAATAAATTCCCGGCCTGTTGGGTCATGAATTTTTTTCCATGTAACGGGAAACCAACAATTAGTTTTCTTTGGCCTTATTAGAATTTATTAAAACTTTCTCAGAATCTTAACCATAATTATGATGTCATTCTGCACCTCCAATTGTGTCATTACATTTGGGTTTTCCTTAAAAAAATCATAGCCTTTGCCTTTCATGTATGTGGAGTCGAGGGATACGATTTTATGAACTTTTCACAGTATCTCTAGTAATTTGCATTTGATACTTGCATGATCTAAAATGCGTTTCATTGGAGGTCAATATGCATGTGTATGGATACACAGACGTCACAAAAAATCATATCCAGTATATTCCAATTGGAAGTCTGTCTGTACCATGTATTTTTGATTTATTAGAGAAGTATACTATTGATCATATGGTCTTTTTTCATACTGTTGATCATATGGTCTTTTTTCATACTGTTGATCATATGGTCTTTTTTCATACTGTTGATCATGTGGTCTTTTTTCATACTATTGATCATATGGTCTTTTTTCATACTGTTGATCATATGGTCTATTTTCATACTATTGATCATATGGTCTTTTTTCATACTATTGATCATATGGTCTTTTTTCATACTGTTGATCATATGGTCTTTTTTCATACTGTTGATCATATTGTCTTTTTTCATACTATTGATCATATGGTCTTTTTTCATACTGTTGATCATATGGTCTTTTTTCATACTGTTGATCATATGGTCTTTTTTCATACTATTGATCATATGGTCTATTTTCATACTGTTGATCATATGGTCTTTTTTCATACTATTGATCATATGGTCTTTTTTCATACTATTGATCATATGGTCTTTTTTCATACTGTTGATCATATGGTCTTTTTTCGGTCTTTTTTCATACTGTTGATCCTATGGTCTTTTTTCATACTGTTGATCATATGGTCTTTTTTCATACTATTGATCATATGGTCTTTTTTCATACTGTTGATCATGTGGTCTTTTTTCAAACTATTGATCATGTGGTCTTTTTTCATACTATTGATCATGTGGTCTTTTTTCATACTATTGATCATGTGGTCTTTTTTCATACTGTTGATCACATGGTCTTTTTTCATACTGTTGATCATGTGGTCTTTTTTCATACTATTGATCATGTGGTCTTTTTTCATACTATTGATCATGTGGTCTTTTTTCATACTGTTGATCACATGGTCTTTTTTCATACTGTTGATTATATGGTCTTTTTTCATACTATTGATCATATGGTCTTTTTTCATACTATTGATCATGTGGTCTTTTTTCATACTGTTGATCATGTGGTCTTTTTTCATACTGTTGATCATATGGTCTTTTTTCATACTGTTGATCATGTGGTCTTTTTTCATACTGTTGATCATGTGGTCTTTTTTCATACTGTTGATCACATGGTCTTTTTTCATACTATTGATCACATGGTCTTTTTTCATACTATTGATCACATGGTCTTTTTTCATACTATTGATCACATGGTCTTTTTTCATACTATTGATCACATGGTCTTTTTTCATACTGTTGATCACATGGTCTTTTTTCATACTGTTGATCACATGGTCTTTTTTCATACCGTTGATCACATGGTCTTTTTTCATACTGTTGATCACATGGTCTTTTTTCATACTATTGATCACATGGTCTTTTTTCATACTGTTGATCACATGGTCTTTTTTTCAGAAAAAAGTGAGCATGTGACAGTAAACCAACATGCTGTGTTTGCAAACAATGAGACATCATTAAAACATATCAAAGTTTATGGTTTTGACTATGATTACACATTAGCTTCTTACAAACAAGAACTACACAGTTTGATCTTCCGTCTGGGAAAAGATGCATTAGTCCACAAGTATAAGGTAATTAATGCAATATTTTACATTATAAATGGTAATGATTATAATATTATGAAGGTTCACTTTATTTTTATCATAATTGGCAAACAAGTTATTTTTAATTCTCGGCTATTTGATACATTTTTTTTGTAACTGTAACAGAGGTTTATTTTTAGTAAATTTAGGTATAATTAGATTCAGTACCAAACAGAAAACTCCAAAATCATAACTCAATCTATCATAGAAAAAATTATTTTTAATATTTAGATTATATTATGATAGGATTTGATAATAGCAAATTCATTTAATTTAATTTTTCAGTACCCTAAAGATATACTCAAATTTGAGTACAGTACAGAGTTTGCTGTACGTGGTCTCCACTATGACATTCGCAAGGTAATAAATGTGTTATTTTTATGCCCCCGCCATAGCGGAGGGGTTATAAGTTTTGCCTTTGTCCTTCTGTATGTCAGTCCGTACGTATGTCCCAAATTTGGTTTTCGTTCTCTAACTTTAGTTATCCTCAACCAAATGTTATGAAACTTGTATACAATGCTTATTACTACAAAACACAGATCAAGATTGAATTTGGGTGGCGTCACTTTTACCGTTCTCTTACTTTAGTTTGCTTCAACCAAATGTTATGAAACTTATAGACAATGTGTATTACCACAAAACTCAGATCAAGTACAAATTTGGGTAGCGTCACATTTACAGTTCTTGAGTTATGTCCCTTTATAACATAATATGCAAGCGGGGGCATCATCTGTGTCCCATGGACACATTCCCAATTTATTTGTCAATTGTTTTGTACATAAATCAGGTTGTAAGTTTTCTCGTTTTAAGTGTTTTACATTCGTCATTTCTGGGCCTTTTATAGCTTGCTATGCGGCATGGGTTTGTTCATTGTTGAAGGCCGTCCAGTGACCTATACTAGTAATTGCAAACCTCCAAATCATTTGGTCTCTAATGGAGAGTTGTCTCATTGGCATCATACTGAATCTTCTTATTTTTATATTGCAAGAAATATACATAGTACTATAAGGGACAAACAAAAGCACTAGTAAAGATATAAGTAAAGGAGAAGCAGAGGTATTCATCTATGATACAGCAACAAAACAAAAGAATTGAAGGGACAAGAAACTCTTGAATATTTTAAAAGAGTTTAGGGTTCCAAACTGTACATAAAACTATGCAGAATAGTAATATACTTTTGGAAGCCTCATTTACTAAATTATGTGATTTTTACTTGTCTGGAGCATCATAACTGGTGCCACTAGTGGAACAGGAAAAGCTTACACTTGACCACTCTTTGTTTGGGGTTCACATTGCTCAATTTTAAGTTTTCTGAGCAGTTATTTATCTTCTGTTTAATGTCCCTTTCCATTTGTTCATGGTGCTGTCAGTTCTCATCATTGTTTTTGTGGTGCTGTCAGTTCTCATAAATGTTTTTGTGGTGCTGTCAGTTCTCATTGTTTTTGTGGTGCTGTCAGTTCTCATCATTGTTTTTGTGGTGCTGTCAGTTCTCATAAATGTTTTTGTGGTGCTGTCAGTTCTCATTGTTTTTGTGGTGCTGTCAGTTCTCATTGTTTTTGTGGTGCTGTCAGTTCTCATTGTTTTTGTGGTGCTGTCAGTTCTCATTGTTTTTGTGGTGCTGTCAGTTCTCATCAATGTTTTTGTGGTGTGGTCAGTTCTCATCATTGTGTTTGTGGTGCTGTCAGTTCTCATCAATGTTTTTGTGGTGCTGTCAGTTCTCATCAATGTTTTTGTGGTGCTGTCAGTTCTCATCAATGTTTTTGTGGTGCTGTCAGTTCTCATCAATGTTTTTGTAGTGCTGTCAGTTCTCATCAATGTTTTTGTGGTGCTGTCAGTTCTCATCAATGTTTTTGTGGTGCTGTCAGTTCTCATCAATGTTTTTGTGGTGCTGTCAGTTCTCATCAATGTTTTTGTGGTGCTGTCAGTTCTCATCATTGTTTTTGATTGCCCCCCTTGGTATCTTCTTACTATTTTAGATAAGTATGTTTATACCAGGCACTCTATTTTGATTGATTGATTGATTATTTGATGTTTAATGGCAATTTTTAATTTGTGGAGGAAGCCAACGTGCCCAGAGAGAACCATGACCTTCGGCAGGAAAACTGGCAATCCTAGTCAATTAAGATTGGAGTTTAAAGAACATACCATGTTCATTGTTCAAACTCACAATCTCAGTGTTGACAGGCTAATAATAGAGTAGATAAACTGCTTAGACCATCCTGCCACTGAGGCCCCATCACCATTTTGAGTGTAAGACGACTCAATTCTACACAATTTATTGATGACCTCTTCATAATTTGATTTTTATAGAATTTATAGTAGGTCTAGACAATGATCAAAGATTGGTGCTAATATGAACATAAGGGTATTTTTATAAAATGCACGTTTCCTTGGATTATTATTGATGACCATCAAACAAGATTCAGACCTTCAGACAAATTTCAGAATGAAAAATAATCAAGATGTCAGCCAGTTGTCATTAGTCTCATGTTAATACATAATGTTCTTTTTTACAATCAGGCATTCTCTTTTGAAATCAGTCTCTAATATATTTCAGGGTCTACTGATGAAATTGGATTCATTTCATAACATACAACTTGGAACAGTTTACAGGTAAATTTTGATAAAGAGAATTCAGTTAGTGCTATCTATAGTTATAAATCACTCTGTGGAGAGACAGTATGAATATGTTTTTGTCAATGTTTCATTTCAAAATCATAAAAAATCCTGGTTACTATATATGAATTGTGGAGGCAAGTTCGGTCCAGTTAGGATGACCTGTGGAGACAAGTTCAGTCCAGTTAGGATGACCTGTGGAGACCAGTTCAGTCCAGTTAGGATGAGCTGTGGAGACCAGTTCAGTCCAGTTAGGATGACCTGTGGAGACAAGTTCAGTCCAGTTAGGATGAGCTGTGGAGATAAGTTCAGTCCAGTTAGGATGACCTGTGGAGATAAGTTCAGTCCAGTTAGGATGACCTGTGGAGATAAGTTCAGTCCAGTAAGGATGACCCGTGGAGACAAGTTCAGTCCAGATAGGATGACATGTGGAGACAAGTTCAGTCCAGTTAGGATGACCTGTGGCGACAAGTTCAGTCGAGTTAGGATGAGCTGTGGAGATAAGTTCAGTCCAGTTAGGATGACCTGTGGAGATAAGTTCAGTCCAGTTAGGATGACCTGTGGAGACAAGTTCAGTCCAGTTAGGATGACCTGTGGAGACAAGTTCAGTCCAGTTTGGATTAATTGTGGACTAAGGAGACAAATTCAGTCCAGTTATAACTCTGTATCAATTCACTACTTGAAGGTTTAATGAAGCCCTAATAAAAGTAGATTACGTATTCAAATAAGAAAAAAGTACATCCATTAGAGTATTATTGTATCAGTGAGAAGGCTCCAAAATGATATTTTTTTTTACAAGTCAACCATAATGAAATGAAATAATGATGTCTCATGTACATCCCTCTGTATATATATCCTTTACTTTCTGGTGCAGCTCAATAAAAAAAAGTAAGTTATATTTTCCAGTGTGTAGTCACATCCATGTTAATTATTATAACTGATATATATTTATAGAGGAATGCAGAAAGTCTCCGATCAGGAAGTAATAAACCTATATGATGGAACCCATGTGGCACTAGAATCTATGAACACATTCTATGGATTGGTAAGATCTTAAACAAGACGAGTAAAAGTGAGAAGCTCAGAGGAATAAAAATAAGAATAAGAATATTTATTAAATGCAATTAAAGGGCCTGTTTTCGAGCATATACATATATATATATAGTATTAATTATACAGTAATTTTTAAGATATATTACATTAAAAATAAATGATTAAATAACTATACTCCATAGCAGATGGTGTTTGAAAATAAATAAATAGGATATTAACCCTCTCTAATACATAAAAATAAATAAACTACTGTAACAGCACTACTACATGTATATTTAGTTAGTTACCGGAATGCAAATTTTTTCTTATTTCAAAACAAGTACTTATAAATCTTGACACTGACATATTAACATTTTCAGACTCACATGACATTAACCAAATAAATTGTTCATACTTTGAAATATAAGGGAAGTTTTTACATTGAATGCATGCTTCATTAAGAATAAAATTCCGTTCCTTTTCATATGCAGTGCATTCCATTAGAAAATGAAACTCGTCTTCAACCTGCATATTTTTACACTGCCCACAAAATCTTTTATCTTTATCGATTTTTTTATATCTACCTTTCTCAATAGCTAACTGATGAGCACTGATTCTAAATTGAGTTAAGCTTTTTCGATACTGAAATTTATTAACTTGACATAAATATGCTTCCCTTTTGAAGATGTTTTTAAATTTAAAATAAGTATGCAATTTTCCTTTTTTAACATTTTGCATTTTTCCAGTAAATCCTATATCTACTAATCAAAATATTTTTAACCTTTTCAATGTCAAAACTTTCCATATCAACATCAATACATCTTAAAATATATACAATATTAGAATACCAAGATGACTTATTACATTTGTGAGTGTCAATACTTGTGAATGGGGCTTGTTTTAACAAATGATCCTTTTCTAAACCATTAATTCTTTGTAAAAATTTAAGAATAGAACAAATGATTTCAATATGCAATGGAGTACGACCTAACTCTCCCATAACAGCTAAATTATATGACTTTTTATTTACCCCGAGAATGTATTTGTAGAACTTTAAACTTAAGTTCTCGCAATCAAACTTACTAAATTTTTTCTCAATTTCAAAGGGGCTGCTTGTTTGACATTTTGAAAAATTAAAAGTACAAGTTCCCCAAATTTCTGAGCCATATGTTAAAATTGGCTTTATTGTATGGTCAAAGATATGTAAACAACTATCAATTTTTGGGATGTTTTCACCGAAAGTACTTTCAGAGGAGATTGAGTTGTGCTTTGACAGATAATTATCTCAAAATAATATTTCAAAAGAAATAGAAGAAAGGGTAGTTAATGTCAAAAAGAACAATATTTTGGAATACCATTTTGTGCAAAGAGATCATTTACATTTGAAACTAAGGTTTCAACTCCCTCAAGCAAAGTTGACCTTAGATGGATTTGGCTATTTTATAGGTCCTTTTTGGTCGTATAGCTCTTCAACTGTTTCGGTTCTTATACATTCTTGGCTTTCAAATATTCGGCTTTGAGCATTCCTGATGAAGGTAAATCCAGAAAGGCGCTTCGGACGCATGAAATTTACAACATGTTGTTTTCATTTTTTACAGTTTTATACAAAGCAAATGAATAATTATGAAATTTATATGCACCAATTAAATGCTGAAGTGTTTTATTGAAATCACAATAACAATGAGGTATGTGAGCTGAGTACTCAATTCAAGTAATTTGATTTCACTTTGCCTTATAGATAGATATATAGATAACATATTATTTCCAATAGAGGACCCATGTTAAGCAAAATCAGTACAGCAATAAGCACATTAAATATTTATAATATACATATAGAATACAAAAGAAAACAGCTCAGATATGGAATATAAAAATAGTTAATAAAATAACCATATACCACCATAATGTTGAGTGTGTGTTGACCATCCAGGAGAGCAGCTTTATATTTTTTTTGCTGATGCACATGGACAAGTACTCTAGATTAAAGAGTTGCCAAAGGCAGGTTCTCAAAGGACATTCTAATGGTTATTGTTAAAATTTGGTGCATAATTTATTTGGATTTGGGGAAAAAAATGATACTGATGCAGCATATAGCACAACGTGTCCCAACACCTAAAAGAAAAAAATTATAAAAACAAATTAAAAGACAATGGGATTCATTATGAGGATTTTTCATTATTTTTTATGAAAGCACATAGTTTAAACAAAATTTCTTTGTTTTATTGAATTTAAGGGGGATTATTGAAGTACCACAAGCACCCATATCTGCTTGAATCTGCATATCTTAAGTCATTTCTTAGAAAACAATAACATTGTACATTTAATCTGGTTTAAAGTAGTATCTTTGAGAGGTTGACTATGTGCCATGGGGGACGGTCACATGGTCCATATTTTATCTATGAGTGTTTGATGATGCTTTTGAATATCATTAGATATATAAAGTTTTACATCTGAGTTTCATTGTAAAATACAACTGAACTCAGACGTAAAACTTAGTATCTTTGCATTATTTTTCAATTCCTTCATCAATTCATTCAGTTCGCAAGGCAACGATATAACACCTTAACAGTTGTCTTGCAAAAGGCTCCTAAAAATAACAAAAAGGTATACCGGTAGATGCTGGGAAATTTAATTCATAAAAAGCATTAATGCGATCCCTCAAGTCTCCTTGTTGGGTCTTCACTCCTCCCTAAAATTCTGAATTGTGGTGAACTCTGGTATATAAGTTATTGCACTTAAACATGATGACAGGTGAGGGATTCAGGCTATCAGGAGCCTCTTGTTTTCATTGATATCTGTTTCTATTTGATTATATAAGGTTAACCAAGCCAATTTGGGGACAAGGTGATCTTTGTTATTGTAGATTACCTACTTTGTGTATTATAAAGAAAATTTACTTTACAGGGTCCAATGTACCAGCTAGTTGACCTGTTTGCACCCCCTGAAATGACATTATTAACCGAAGTTATTGAGGTAATGATTTTTGCTACAAAACTTGGACAGAAAATGTTCCTGTTTTGTGTTTGAAAAATATTATTTGTAATGTAATTAAAACTCTAAAAATTAGACTTACTTTAAGGAGAAGGTACATTTTTATACGCCCGTCAATTTTTGACGGGACGTATTATGGTATACAAATGTCCGGTGTCCGTCCGTCTGTCTGTCCGGCGTAAACATGTCGCACCGTAACTTGAGAATGACTTATCCAAATTTCATGAAACTTAACATAGTTGTTTCTTATGATGGTCAAACGATCTGTATACTTTTTGGTGAAAATAAGATTAAAACTTTTTGAGTTACAGGACTTAGTAACTAAAACAGGTGTGTGTTTTTTTTCACATGTCGCGCCGTATCTCAAAAACAATTTATGATTATTGCTTAAAACTTTACACACTTCTTAGTTATATTAATCTTAAGATCTGTATACTTTTTGGTGATGATTCAAAATTTTATTTTAGAGATATTGAGTATTTTGTTAAAAAAGGGGGAGGGTTTTTTCACATGTCGCGCCGTATCTCAAAAACAGTTTATGATTATTGCTTAAAACTTTACACACTTCTTAGTTATATTAACCTTAAGATCTGTATACTTTTTGGTGATGATTCAAAATTTTATTTTTGAGTTATTGAGTATTTTGTAAAAAAAGGGGAGGGGTTTTTTACATGTCGCGCCGTATCTCAAAAACGATTTATGATTATTGCTTAAAATTTTACTCACTTCTTAGTTATATTAATCTAAAGATCTGTATACTTTTTGGTTTTGATTCAAAATTTTATTTTAGAGATATTGAGTTTTTTGTAAAAAGAAAAGGGGTTTTCGCATGTCACGCCGTATGTCAGAAACTATTTATGCTTATTGCATAAAAATTCACACACAAGACGACAGGCGTATCATGCGCTCATGGCGTAGCTGTTTATTGTACATTTGTACATGTAATAGTTTGGCAGTGTAAATTCATAAAAAAAAAAAATTGTATGATCTCACTATTGATCACATTATTATACTCCAGCTCAAAGAGTGAGAGCAACATATCATTATACACCACTCTAGGAGTTGAGGCTATATTGCAAGCATCATGTCCATCTCTTTGTTTGTCCATCTGCCTGCCATGCAGATAATCCAACAAATATTTTCATCGCACTTAGGTACTACTGAACAGAATGTCTTCATATTTGGTCAGCTGCTTTTAAAGCTTACTTTGCCATAGGGGATTTTCTTGTTGTTGAAGGCTGTACTTTACTCTATAGTTGCTGAAACCATGTCATTTGGTCTCTAGTTTATAAATGTTTCATTGACAATTATACCCTAATATTTTGGTCAAACATTTCTTCAATTCTACTGAACAGAAGGACTTCATATTTGGTGAACAGCTGGACATTGATGACTTGTAATGTTTCAGTGCTTTTCTGATCTGTCAGACACCTACTTCCTGTTATCTGATACTTTAATTACAATTTGGGGTATGCTTAGCACAACAACACATAAACTTCTTGTTGTTATATACCTTGTCTTTTAGTTAAACCAACAAATATTTCCATCACATATTTCTCAGGTACTACTTAACAAAATGACTTCATATTTGACCAGCAGCTTGACATTGGTGAATTGTAACATATAGTACTTTAAGGATCTGATAGACATTTCCCTACATGATTTCTGAGAGAATTTGTGACAGCTTTTGAAAAAGAACAATACTGTATTGAGTATAAAATTTATAACAGATTAGCAGAAATTTATAATAATGTTAACGATACCAGCTACCGATAAGTGGTTACCGGTAACTGAAAAGCTTTGTCTTCATTAGACAAAAACATCACAGCTTTACATTTTTCTAACTATTAATATTAATTGAATGTCAGTATTTCAGAGAAAATGGCATTCAGTATGATCCAGAATATGTCTTCTACGATGTAAGGGTGAGTTGTTTTCACTCTTCATTAGTTCCAGCTTGACATCGTCTATCACTGCAAAATAAACAACATACTGTAAAATGTTAAATCATTATATAAATAGGAAATGATTAAGTTGTTATCTCGTTTAAAGGAAGTTAAATAATTGCTTGTGTTGCTTCTAAATAGATTAAAATGATATGTTTGACATATTTCTTATGCCTGTAGGAATAAAATATGAGAAAGAATGTATAGCCCCTATTAGAATTGAAACTTTTTGTTTATATATGTATTGATTATTCAGTATGCTGTTAATTTGTTTAATAAAACTTATAAATGTAAACGTGATATGTTATTTGTTGATTAGGGTGTAATAAATGTAATATGTTATTTGTTAGGGTGCTGTCCAAGGGATTCATTCTAACGGATTGTTACATAACAGTATTATGACCAATATTGGTGAGTATTGATCTTTGAAGTCCTTTATAGTCAACCAAGGTTTGTTTAATATTCATGTTATATTTTGTTTTATACTTTCAAGGCTATATGTTGGAAATTCAATATGGTGTGTCATTCAAATTTAAAGCAGCTATCAGGGATTTACTCATATTTTTGCTAAAATTAGCCATCTACATAAAAGAAAAAATGCATGCTGGCAAGGTCAATATCATCGAAAAGGGGTTGGTTGGTTGTTTGTTCAGAAAGCACTTTACAAAAATACATGAATGATGGGGTTATGTCTCGCCTTTTTAAAGTTTGTGATAAGATCAGTTTAAGAGGAACCGCTGATGTTAAGTCAGTGATATTTGGTATGCAGTGGTATTAGCATTTGCAAGTTTCTTTTCCATGGTGATTATATGACCCCACCCCTCAGCATGGTTCATTAACTTTGAAACTTTTACGTTGTTTACAAATTTAAAGTTTGTGTTCAGGTTATTGTAAAGTCAATGGTGGTATATGGTATGCAGTTTTATAAGTATTGGCATTTCTCATTTCCATTGAGATTATTTAGTTCTGCATCATAAATCATGGTTCATTGACTTTGATTCTTTTGCATAGTTTACATGTTTAAATTTTGCCATTTGGATTCAATATTTGCAATATACTATCAAAATTACAAAAAGGCGAGACATATCTCTGTGTCAACAGTTTATTAACAATATTGAAAATACATACTCAAAGTTGCTTATGGAAATTAAATAAAAAAAAGTAGTTTGATGGCAATGAACAAAATTAATGTTGTATATGTGCCTCTACCATGAGGTACACAGCAATATTCAATGATCAAAGAAATTAATTTCTAGGTCAGTATACTATTAAAAAATGTCACATGTCAATACCTCCTAGATTTCGTTTACTAATTTAACAGTGAAGATTGTTATCTAATAGTCTATTTCCAGATTAGACATTTAAGAAATGACATGTATGTATGAATACTATCAAAGAAGAGGTGATTAATCTTAGATTTTGAAAACCTTATAAAGGAAGACTGGAAATAATGTGCATATATCATTTCAGAAAAATATTTAGAAAAGGGACCTAAGGTGATGTCTATCCTTGAAAATCTGGTGAAGGCTGATAAGAAACTGTTCCTGGTAACTAACAGTGGATTCCCTTTTGTGTAGGTACATAAAGTACTATGAGTATAACTAGTTTGTCTACCATCACTGGAATAATAAATACAATATTGAAACAGCATTTTAGATATGCATTATAATTTGACCTCTGTTTAGGATAAATTGACTACCACACTCTGGTTTAATATTGATTTTGATGTAAGGTAAAACAAAAATTATTATAATAATGAACGCAACATAACCTGTCCATAAGGTTTATGACCCCTTCTGTAGGCCTGTGTATTACGAATGAGATAATATCAAAACAAGATACTGAATATAGAGACATTTCATTTTGTTCTTATGCCAAAGGGTAACCTTATTCTGAGAAAATATTCTTACCCGGGGGTATTGTTTCATTGTATTTAAGGGATAATGGGGATTTTGTGGCAAATCGGCAAAATTTTTACAGAAAATCCACAGACTTTATTACAGAGATTTTAATTACAACATTTTAAACATAGATAACTCACTTGTTTGTCCATGTTATGCTTTCATTTATTGTCTCGCCTTGACGGAGTCAAAAAGCAAGACATAGGTATGCTGTTTTTGTCTCGCCTTGACAGAGTCAAAAAGCAGGACATAGGTATGCTGTTTCCGGTGTCGTCCGCGGTGGTGGCGCCGTCAACAATGTATAAGTTTGTGATTAGGTCTAGTTTAAGGTGCACCACTAGTGGTTGGTCAATGATATTTGGTATGCAGTTATATTAGCACTGGCACATCTCATTTCCATGAAGATTATTTGGCCCTGCTCCCTCAGTCATGATCTAACTGAAACTTTTGCTTAGTTTACATGTATTAGTTTGTGATTAGGTCAGTTTATGGGGAACCACTAGTGGTAAGTCAATAATATTTTGTATGCAGTTGTATAAGCATTGGCATATCTCATTTCCATGGAGAATATTTGGTCCCAATCCCGCAGTCATGGTCTATTGACTTTGAAACTTTTGCTTAGTTTACATATATTAGTTTGTGATTAGGTCAGTTCAAGAGGAACCATTAGTGGTAGGCAAATGTTAATTGGTATGCAATTGTATAAGCATTAGCACATCTCATTTCCATGGAGAATATTTGGTCCAGCCCCCTCAAGTCATGGTCTATTGACTTTGAAACCTTTGCTTAGTTTACATGTCTTAGTTTGTGATTAGATCATTTTAAGATGAACTGCTAATGGTAAGTCAATGATATTTGGTATGCAAATTTATTGGCATTTGCAAGACTTGTTTCCATGGAGATTACATAGCCCCACCCCCTCATCATGGTTCATTGACTGAAACTTTTACATAGTTTACAAGTCAATGTTTGTGTTTAGGTTTGTTGAAAGGGAACAACTTATGATAATTCTATGGTATTTGGTATGCAGTTGTATTAGCATTGGCACATCTCATTTCCATGGAGATTCTTTTGCCATGTACCATCAGTCATGGTTCATTGACTTTAAATATTTGCATCACTTACATGTTAAAGTATTGCTATTTAGAAGACCAGGATGCTTCATACCTTGTATACAGATGCGTTATGTTACAACATTTCTGTCTGTCCATTGTCTTGGACTTCATTTTTGTGGTCAGCAACTTCTTAAAAAAATTTGTGTCATGTGAATATCTCACTTATTATGAAATAAAAGGATAATTATATTTTGTATATGGGATCCTTCCAAGGTCTACATATCCGTCAGACATGGTTCACCTGACCTCAACCTCAATTCATTGATCAGTGATCAAGGTTCAATTTTCTTAGTCAAGTCTGTATCTCAGATACTTTTAAGCAGTAAGTCAACTATATTGGTTTTTGGAATGACTGTAAGATTTGCATGTCTGTCTGGCAGGTTTCATCTGACCGTGACCTCATTTTTCATGGTTCATTGGTCAATATTAAGTTTTTGTGTCTTGGTCCATTTCTTAGATATTGTGCGCAATAGGCCAACTATATTTGGTTTGTGGAATGATTGTATGGTGTACATGTCTGCCTGGCGGGTTTATCTGACCTTGAACCAATTATCTTGGTTCAAAAGTTAGTGTTATGTTTTCATGGTTAAGTCTATTTCTTAGATACTATAAGCAATAGGTCAACTATATGTGGTGTATGGAATGATTGCAATGACGCAGATGAGACATTTCAGAGTGTGCACTCTTGTTTAATTGGTCAGTTATGTCAGTAGTAGATTAATTCCCACTCAATATTCAGCATATTCTAATATAATACAGCTTTAAGAAAAAAGATCATTTCTCAACCCTTAAACATTTAAAATACAAAATATATATACATGTACATTTATATAGTATTGCATATACAAATCTTTTCTCCTTGTTACAAAAAGTCTGTTTTGTTTGTAACAGTGCTATTGTATTTTGTACAGAGATGCTGGTATGACTTACATGTTGGGAAGTGACTAGAGGGATCTGTTTTTGTTTTGTTTGTAACAGTGCTATTGCATTTTGTACAGAGATGCTGGTATGACTTACATGTTGGGAAGTGACTGGAGGGATCTGTTTTTTGTTTTGTTTGTAACAGTGCTATTGTATTTTGTACAGAGATGCTGGTATGACTTACATGTTGGGAAGTGACTAGAGGGATCTGTTTTTGCTTTGTTTGTAACAGTGCTATTGTATTTTTGTACAGAGATGCTGGTATGACTTACATGTTGGGAAGTGACTGGAGGGATCTGTTTTTGTTTTGTTTGTAACAGTGCTATTGTATTTTTGTACAGAGATGCTGGTATGACTTACATGTTGGGAAGTGACTAGAGGGATCTGTTTTTGTTTTGTTTGTAACAGTGCTATTGTATTTTTGTACAGAGATGCTGGTATGACTTACATGTTGGGAAGTGACTGGAGGGATCTGTTTGAAGTTATTATCTGCAATGCAAGGAAACCAAAATTCTTCAATGAAGCTTCAAGGTAACTTAAATCTATATTAGTGTTTAGATTCACCATCACTGATAAATAATTTTTGAAATGTGCATATGGTGCATAAAATAAGATTTTGCATGTAATATTGAATTACTGCTATTTGGTTGATTTGACACTAGTGGACTGCAAGATCCCGAAGGTAACACTTTGTCTGTAACAACTGTTATTTTACCAGCATAATAGTTTTGTCCACTGCCGCAAAATGTTGCAGGTACATAGAAATACAATGTGTTTGTCCTTCTGTCCTGTCTTGAAAACACTCTTACCAGATTTTTATGAATATTATATCAATGGTTTATATTGGCTTTGTCTGGGACAAGTTTGTACATTAATGCTGATCAGCTTTTTTTTAATGGAGTAATGCCCCATGGAAATATAATTTATATGGAAAATTATATTGTAAGCCCTCTAAGCCTACATTTCTTGTAAGTTTTTATTTAAGCCTACATTTCTTGTAAGTTTTTATTAAATGTATATTAGAGGGTAGTATCAGTATTATGTCTTGGCCATTTTTTTAAAATCAGTGCTAATCAACTAATTTTACAGGAATCTTGTCCCTTTGAAATATTATTTATATTGAAAATTGCATTGTCAGCACTCTCAAGTCTACATTTCTTGTTGGATTTTTACGAAATTTATTTCGTAGATTCACATTAGCAAGGTTTTGGACTAGTTGGATGATCAGCGCTGATCAAATATGTTTGCAGTAGATATGCCCCTTGGTAATAGAAATTTTAGGGAAAATTGCATGGTAAGCAATCTCACATCTACATTTCTTGAAGGATATTTCTGAAAAATTTTAAAAAGCAAAACAAATTATTGGAGTTATTGCCCTTGGACATAAGAAAGTTTGGCCTGGGGAGATTGGAATGCTGCTACTTATAATGATTCTTAGAAATTTTTATTTTATAAAGATGAATTGAACCACTGTTTCACATTTACATTGATTCAGATCAACATTTTTGTTTAGACATTTTCTGGCATACTTTTCTTTTTGGGTTATGCTAAAATCTGAATACTAAATGGAAGAACTAAAAATTAGGTAGATTTGACATTTTTGCATTTTTCCCATAAATGTTAAGAGGTTTGAAGTCCGAAGTATGTAAAACAATCTTCAGAAATCAAAATATATGATTACTTTTATCCACGACAAGCTGAGATCTTGTAAACATATGAAGGATCTATTTTGGTAATTTGATAATACTTTTGTAAATTTTTAAAGGCAGTGCTTTAATGCCTTTCTAGTTGCCGGGTTAATCCTTCCTTCCGCGATATCCAACTTATCTACGTGGGGGGTCATTAGGCTCCAAGTAGATCCGGAAATGTTGAATTCTCTCCTCTTCTTATTGCGATATAAAATGTTTTTTGTTTGATTTCATTTACATTGGGAAATAGAGAAACGATCATTGTGTTTTGTTAGTTTTAAAAACTTTTGATATATTAGTATTTTGCATTATAAGCAGTCAACCGATTGACAAACTAGAATTATTTGAATTCCGTGTGGAAAGAGCTCGGGTTAATTTCGAGTGTTATCTGCAATCAAGATGTTTATAAATCATTTCAGTCGTTGATATAATAATTAAATGTCGACTGAACATGAATTATATTATACAATTTAAAGAGCATTTCTGTTTATGCACGTGAACCCGTCTAACGTTATTGTAATTTCGCAGTTATATAAAGTAGCAAATTATCGTTCCTGAATAGGTGGCGCCGTGGTAGCGGATCCTGTTCCTCTACTTCCGGTTTCTGCACTGTGCAACTATTTCAGTTATATTTTTAATTAACGATGCCAAGTACTTGTTGTTGTGTACCTGGATGTCATTTAAGAGGAGGACATGCATTTCCAAATGACTTAAAAAGAAGGAAAAGTTGAATCAACGCCATGGCCCATACGCAGATTGGACGAGAACACGATGATATTGTGGAGTCCATCTCAATCAGCTGTTGTTTGCAAGGCACGTTCTACTGAAAAAGACTACGTGCAGGAAACTATTCATGGTAAAACTCTATTTTCTTTGTGAAATATATAGTTATATATGTAATCGCCATGCGAATAAACCAAAGTCTGTTTACAACCGCAATTATCGTTTTAGAATAAACATGATAAAAGGGGGTGGGTAATTCAAGACGTCATAATTTTTTGGATTACGATTCAGTGTGATCTGTTTGAGATTTTTTGGTGATTGCTACAATTATAATGATTTCTTACAAGAGGTATATCATACTGAGAATTATTTTAGCAGTAATTATGCTAATGTAGTAATGACAGGAATGCATAAGCTATGCACCCTATGCCTCATAGACTTTCTTGAAAAATATCAATGACAATGTTAACAGGAACAAAACAATGACATGCTCTCATCTATATTATAGTTATTTAGGTACAAACAATGTACGTTTGTTGCATAAGTCTCTCATTGTTTGTCCTTTGGATTTACATAACATACATTGAATCAGGCAAACATAGTTTTATCCAGATTGTAATGAATAAATCTAGTTAATATTTCGCCAGGTAGTACAAAGTATACATTGCTAATGGAAGTTCATTTAATTATAAAAAAACTAATGTTTTATAACCTTTTTCAGGGCGCAAACCCACCATACAGAGACTTAAGTCTACTGCCATTCCCAGCCTATTTTCCTGGACCAAGCAAGAGACTGAATCGTCCGCAAAAAGAAAAATCAGGGCAGTTTCCTGTGAAAACAAAAGAACTAAACTTGATGAATATTGTAGTAGAAATCTAGAGGAAAGTTTTGATTGTAAAGTTGATATTCCTGAAGAAGTCATTCATACTGCAGAAAGGATTTATGACTGTCCACCACCAACTGCCGAGCTAATGTTGAGCTTCACAGATGGAATTACGCAAACACCATCAATGCCTATGTTTTCAGCAGAGAATTTTGAAATGAAGACACGTGACACAGCCATGCATTTTTATACCGGTTTAGAGTTGTATACTAAATTTTTATTTGTTTTGACCACACTTGGTCCAGCAGCACATTGTTTGAGATACATATATTTTCAAATTGATAGGGTGTCAGTTGAAAATCAGTTTTTTTATGACTTTGATGAAATTGAGGCATCATACAACCAACTTTGAACTGTCTAGATTCTAGATTGAATCTAGTGTTAAGAATATTGTGTATACATGGATTTTTTTTATGTCTAAACAGTGGTGTGAGGCTAACACTTGGCCATCTAGTGGTTAAGTCAGGTATTTTTCACCATCCAACTTCAAATTAAAGTTTCCTACGACTTGGATTATAATTGACAGCACAGAATATCCCGTGATAAAACCTAAAGCTCCTAGAGCTCAGGCAACCTTTTCATCAAATAAAAACAGAAACACTGAAAATTCTTGAATGTTCGACACCTGGTGGTTTAGTCAACTATGTCTCTATGTCACATAGAGCGAATTATTGGACTTGGCAAAACATACAAAATTCTAATAAATCCTATGAATGGAACTGAAACAAAACTTTCATCTGAAATAACATTTAGTTGTTTTATGTTGTGTAATTTTAGAACTTGTATTGTGCCAAAGGATGCATAAATAAAAGTGACGCAATGAATTTTGTTCTGATATATATATATTTACAATTACATGCACATGTAAATTGTAATGCATATAAAAATAAGGAGATGTGGTATGATATTCAGTGAGTTTATCAAACTGAAGTGCATAAGAAATGGGTTAAAGCAGTTACAGGTGTTACTGTCACCGTACAATCTCCAACAATGAGAAAAACTCGTACCCTGTAAAAAATTTCAGAGATCTTACAACTAAGTTTTGTTGTCTCACCTTGACTTTGGTGAATTTTTTATATCTGTTGATGTAAATATAAAAAAGAAGATGTGGTATGAATGCCAATGAGACAACTCTCCACACATGCACAAGAGACCAAATGACACAGAAATTAACAGCTATAGGTCACAGTACGGCCTTCAACAGTGAGCAAAGCCCATACCGCACAGTCAGCTATAAAAGGCCCCGAAATGACAATGTAAAACAATTCAAACAAGAAAACTAACGGCCTATTTTATGTAAAAAAATGAACAAATATAACAAATATGCAACACATAAACAAACGACAACCACTAAATTACACTTTTACAGGCTCCTGACTTGGGACAGGCACATACATGTACATACAGAATGTGGCGGGCTTAAACATGTTAGCGGGATCCCAACCCTCCCCTTAACCTGGGACAGTGGTGTAACAGTACAATATAAGAAAGAACTATAAAAATCAGTTGAAAGAGGCTAAACTCATCAGATGGATAAATACAAATACAAGTGGACGTGGTCGGGTAGTTGTACATCCAAACAACAAAAAGACACTAAGTACAGATCTGAGAGTACTCGCAGTTACTGACAGCTAGTTCAAAGCCACTAACAACTGATAAAAAAATCTTGCATCTAAGACTAAATAATCAATCCGTAAGATCCCTTTAGAATTTTAGAATTTTATAAATTTTAGATTTTACATTTCTGAGTTATGGGGTTTTATTCGTTAAAAAAGGAGGGATTTTCCAGTTTTTGGACAACAACTCAAAAATGCTTTAAGCAGTTCACATGAAACTTTGGTGAATTATTTATAGCTATTGATGTAATCTCCCTATTGATTTTCATAAATTTCAAATATGACATTGAGAAGAAATTGAACATTATTTGTTTATAGTCTGGCAACAGATTTATTAAGTATTGCGCAACAGCACAGTGTATTGCACAACAGCAAGAAATCTTTAATTGAATATAAATTCAATTCATATAACCGATTTCAAGTTCATTGACTACATTTATTCAGAAACTATAATATGTCAAATATTTAATTACAATCCAAATTCAGACCTGTATCAAGCTTGAATATTGTGTCCATTTTTGCCCCAGCTGTTCAGGGTAGTACCTCTGCGGGTGTATCCAGCTGCGCTCAGCGAATCAGTTTATTTCTTAATTAAGAACTCCTTTTTTCATTCATAAATTACTTTATGCTTGGAAATATAATTTTGCTTGGAGTTGAAAGAGTTGACATGTTGCAATGTACATTTACTCTACATAGTTCTATGGTACCAAATCAAAAGTTTATATAAAAGAAAGAAGTCGAAGGTTTCCCATCATAGTTTAGTTACATACATTTTTTTTGTACCTGAGGTCGTTGAATATAGATCATTATATAAATAAGGAGATGTGTTATGATTGCCAATGAAAAAACTAAGGATTTTCTTATCCAAGGAATAGATTACCTTAGCCGTATTTGGCACAACTTTTTGGAATTCTGGGTCCTCAATGCTCTTCAACTTTGTACTTGTTTGGCTTTGTTACTATTTTGATCTGAACGTCACTGATGAGTCTTATGTAGACGAAACACACGTCTGGCGTATTAAATTATAATCCTGGTACCTTTGATAACTAATTTGACTATAAACATAGATAAAAAAGGTACAAACTGGACATAATGCACTAGTTCATAAACAAGTGAGAACAATCGCCTTCATATAGTGCTCAGAATATGACATTCATAAAACTTGTTCAATATCATTAGAGAACTTTAAATCTTAAATACTGAAAGCCACCTCTGATAAGTACACTGTACTATGCAAGATAATGATATAACTGGACTTAAAATACACACAACCTGTAATTAACTGCCTTTACAGCGCTTTCGTGCTTTGATTACTTCATGGGGCCTGTAAAAGAGACCTTATTATACCCTTTCCTTGCATTGTTCATTATCCTTGAAATAAAAAGGTAGCCCAAGCATAACAAATAATATATCACAATTTTTATTTCTAATTAAGGAATCTGTTATACTTGCAGGCCATTTAGAATTTATGATCCTTCACTTGAAGTGGTGTCATGGGACAGAGTAAATACTCTTATAAAAGGCAGGATTTATCAAGAGGTAAATATTTAACCTTATTCAAGGTCAAGTATAAGGATACAATATCACTTCAGTTATTCAACACCCTGATTGAAGTCCAGGGGTATATATATACGATGTCACAGAAGCAAGGGTTCGAATACCGCTGAGGGAAGAACTAAACTTTACTAGCGCAAACTTGCAGATATAACATTGATGGAGAATGTTAATCATAAAGTTGTCACGTGTTTAGACGTTTATAATAAAATCGAAATTTGATGTGGCGGCATGGTAAGAAACATTATCATCCTTTACGACAGATAGAACAAAGCTGATCTGAAAGATACACCATCTACTTTGCCACTATACATCATGTACTGTGTTACAACCTTAGGTAAAGCCTATGAGGAAAAGCATCACTCAACAAATGAAAGCTATATTTTAATAGCCTAGTTGGTCTAGGGCGCTGGACAAAGTGCAGGCAGTATTGCCACGATGTCACAGAAATACATAAGAAACAAAGTGGGAACTCTTCTGCCTTAATGTTTAAAAATATTTTCAGCAATATTCAGCATTTTGTTTTTGTTTTGAGGTATATCCAAAGCTTGCACTATGTACTTAAAACCTTATTGTCACTGGCTTAACAGCTATATTTAGCTGTATTCCAGGCCTTATCTCTACATTACCTAACAAAGTGCAGTGCGGTAAACATTTGGATCCTATCCATTCCCATGCCAATTAACTTATTATTAATATTTACTTAGATACCAAGCTATTAAATGATGTATATGTGTATGACCACACTTGACCTTCATTTATGGGGAAAGGAAGTTAACTTCAATTCCAAATATTGCCTAAATTTTTTCCATTGTTTAAAACACTGTGGTTCACAATGCATAATGAAAGCAGTCTTTATCCCTCAGTTCTCACAAGCCTTTTGATTTAATTCTGTTGTCTTATTTTGTCAATATAAATATTTATTTATTGGAGCTCATGACTAAACATGTATTGTATGTAGTAAGAGCTACTGAGCTTATGCTTGGTTATTTGTTTGTATGTAGTTAGAGCTACTGAGCTCATGCTTGGTTATTTGTTTGTATGTAGTTAGAGCTACTGAGGTCATGCTTGGTTATTTGTTTGTATGTAGTTAGAGCTACTGAGCTTATGGTTGGTTATTTTTTTGTATGTAGTTAGAGCTACTGAGCTTATGCTATTGTATGTAGTTAGAGCTACTGAGCTTATGCTTGGTTATTTGTTTGTATGTAGTTAGAGCTACTGAGCTCATGCTTGGTTATTTGTTTGTATGTAGTTAGAGCTACTGAGCTTATGTTTGGTTATTTGTTTGTATGTAGTTAGAGCTACTGAGCTTATGCTTGGTTATTTGTTTGGTTCCAGTTGTTCATTTGTTTGTTGTTTATGTAGTGTGTTTTATTTACTGTTGTTTGTCTTTGCATTGTTTTCTTTTGGCCTTAAGTTATTTCATCAGCTCAGTAGTCAGTGCTTGGACAGTACTGACATGATTTATAGCATACCTTTATTGAATTTCTGCTGGTAAAGTTAGAATTTATTAAGAAACTAAGGTCCAAACTCCCGTAAATATAGTTATACTTAGATGAATTTGGCTATTATTTATAGGTCCCAATTCCCTTAAAAAATAGTTATAATTAGATTAATTTGGCTATTATTTATAGGTCCCATATCCCTTAAATATAGTTATACTTAGATGAATTTGGTTATTATTTGTAGGTCCCCTTTGGTCATTATGATAGCTACTCATGTCTTCAAGTACTAAAACATTTTTGGCCTTGTATTTTTGGGGGTGAGAATTCTTGATGAAGGTAAATTGAGAAAAGTCCATCGAATGGATAATATTTATGAAGTGTTATTTTCATTTTTGTTTAACATTATAAAAGTTGTGTAATGTTTAATATCGTGAATTACTGTGTTGAATATTAAATTTCAGGGCAATTTCTTTCAATTAAGACAGATGACAGGCTGGTATGGATCCAAAGTTTTATATTTTGGTGACCATGTTTACAGTGATTTAGCAGTAAGTCTTTGTTTTATCCTTTTAAAAAAATTAAGAATACTTATCATTATTTAGATAGCAGAACATCTGTAAAACCTATATTTCTCAATTTAAGTAAGGACTCTTTTAAACAAAAAAATTTCTAATTTCAAATATAAATAGTTTAAAATTTACCTGGAATTTAAAAAAAAAACTTTGACTGTAAATAGTTATTAAAGTTCAAGTATTATCTAAAATTATTGAAATAGTTAAAGTCCAGTAAATAAAGAGATATGTAAGATAAATATGTTTAGGAAGAAATTCAAGAAACTAAGTTTTATATGTGTAATTTATATGTGTATTATCTCCCCTTTTCAGGATCCATCCTTAAAGTATGGCTGGAGAACAGGTGCAATTATTCCTGAATTAGAGGTATGTTCAAGAATGTCTACAAAAAACTGTGGGAGATTCATAGTAGAACCTTTTTAACATTGTTTTTGTCATGCATGTGACATTTAAAAACAGGTGTCGTTTTCCTTCACTGTCAACACCAAATTGAAAGTTTTCTGATTAAGTACATGCTAGAATAAGAACTCATGGTAATGTTTCTTGTTTTTATCATTTTTTTTAAAACTTAAATATATGTCAAATTATGGCTAAACATTGAAAAAGAATTTTAACAGTAAACAAAGCACAGTAAAATTTATTTGGATGCCAATTGACTGGTGGGTGAATAAGTTGCATGTTTGATAAAATAGTTTTGTGCAAAACAAAAATTTGTAATGTTCTTCTGAGAAGAAACAAGCTTCATAATCTGTACCACTTATACTTTAAAGACTAGAGAGAAACTGTGACAGAAAAAATTATCAGCAAACCAAGATTATCAAATAATTAATTATGATTTGAATTGCTAATGCTAATGCCTGGTGTAAAGATAAGACAAATATAATGCCTTCCCATGGTCAAATGGGCATAGAGCATGGCATGAAAAAATTATTTCTTATGTATTTCTTATGTATTTTTGTACAAGGATCTCTTAGCATTCAAATGATTCTTAAGTCCTTGAGTATTGGTTGTAAACCCCATTATTAAATGTTTTAGGATTTTACATACAGAAAAGTCTGCTAAAAAAATTATAGTGTAAAAATACATATCCTTAATTTTAAACTCAACATACTGCTACTTTTCAGACAGAAATAAAAAAGTCCAATACTTTAGAGTTCCAGATAGCTGTCCATTGGTTGTGTTGTTTACAGGATCTCATAGAAGAATCTCAGGTTAGTACAGTGAAACCTTGCAAATCAAGACTTATACAGCATCTCATAGACAATTCACAGGTACAGTGCTGTCAGCTAATGTGACCAACATATGGTTTTCAGTTGTTGTACTTGATGATAGAATCGCTAGACTATTAAAGTTTTCAGCGTTTAATCAAGATAAATATGTTTAGTCTTTTGAATGTTATCTTTTTTTTTATATAGATAATGATTCCTAAATAAGAAAAATTGTACTAGGACGTAATCCTTCCCACTTTTATGTAAAGTCAATTAGTAGGCTAATTTGACACACCAGATGGATTCGCTAATGTACAGGATCAACTTCATCCTTGAGATTTTGTCCAATTACATATATTGATTAATAATCTAAAGACAATAAACCCTGACTTTCTAAATAAAACAATCAGTCTTTCAGAGGAAACTGAAGAGTCTAAAATACAAGACAAGAAGAAAAAAGAAAAAAAAACATTAAACAATTTTCTTTAGATGCTGACCTCATTGGAGAAACTTTCAATACTTATATATTGTTTCAAAATGTGCAATCATCATTCTTTCGTATACTGGACAGAAAAAGAAGGATTTTATCCATATAAAATACTCACTGCTGTAAAATATTACTTGTATTGAATACTTGCATACCAGTTTTTTTTTAATTATTCTTTCTATTTTAATTATTCTTTTCAGGAGGACAAAGACCCCAGTATTACACAACTAAGAAATGAATGGTTAAAAGAAAGAGATGAGTTAAGGTAATGTTCATTTACAATATTTAAAATGAAAGTCACTTGCAAGACTACTGTGTAACATTTTTTCTAAGTTTTCATTTGCAAATTGATAATTGCACCAGGTTTGATTAAGATATTTTAATTCAAAATAAATTAATGGTTTCTAGACCTGCAGCTTTTTGTTGGATGAAGTGGGATTGGAAGGGGTCATTAATACTGTCCTGAAAAGATTAATTCCAAGAAAAATCAGCATTTATTGATGTGACATTCCTGCTGTATCGTGTTACAGTAATAGCCAATCAAATGTAAACCTATGAACAACAGAACACTACAGATTATACAGTCCAAAAACTGTTACCCTGTGACAGTTACTTTAAATAGTTTTTGGAAAGCATTTTTTATAATATTGGTACTGAGAGAGTATTAATTGATTAATTTTCAAATTTCTCCTCTTCTGAAACAAAAAGTATAAATTTTTGAAACTTTACAGGAGTGATGATTGGTGGACCCTCTTCCAATCTTGAGATTTTTACTAGTGGTAAGGCCACATACATTGTAGCAAGGTGCCTTATACTAGGTTCCGATTAAACCTAATGGTAAATCAAAGACACTTCATCTGGCATGTGTAAACCGACAAAAAATTATGGGAATAATGTACTGTATGGAGGCTGTATTATAAAATTTTATAACAGCTAAAAAAAACATGCCCTCCCACCATAACAATTTGGAAATTCGTATGAAAAATGCTGTTGAGCCAGGTGAATTGCTCAAGAAATTAATATACAGAACAAGGTTTGAAAATATCCATTGTTGACATTGTGCATAGATTCATGCAATTGATGCAGGATTTTTAGCCTTTAATTTCAATAGTTTTTGTGTACAACCTGTTAAAGTCTAAAGATTAAGTTATGTAAAGCTATTTAAAAGTGGACTTATACAGAAAATCATTTACTAGTGTTATATAAATGTAAAATAGTACATTTTGATTACATTATCCTTATTTTATTTCATTTCAGAGATTATACTAAATCCTTGTTCAATCCACATTTTGGAAGTATTTTTCGGACTTATCACAATCCAACATACTTCAGTCGACGTTTGGCAAGATTTGCAGATATATACATGTCAGACATTACAGATCTTCTTGAATACTCTACATGCCATACCTTTTACCCAAGGAGAATGGCACTACCTCATGAACATCCCCCATATGCTGATTTATAATAAAATCTTGGAAGATATAATCTACTGTGATAGCGTAGCGTTACATTATAGACATGTGTGGTAAAACATTGTAATATGTAGAATAATTAATTCATAAACTGTGTTATGATGAGCCATTGTTATGGTTTATGCTGATTAGTACAATTTATGTTGAGCCTGTTGCGAAAACGAGACATAGCGATCCTAGATTCCGTCGTCAGTGAAATCAACATTTAGGTTCAGTCTGTGTTAAATTTTTTTTAGACATCAACAACTTTGTCATTCCTATTTTACTGATAAATGGACATAGTTTTTAAAGGCAGTGCTTTAATGCCTTTCTAGTTGCCGGGTTAATCCTTCCTTCCGCGATATCCAACTTATCTACGTGGGGGGTCATTAGACTCCAAGTAGATCCGGAAATGTTGAATTCTCTCCTCTTCTTATTGCGATATAAAATGTTTTTTGTTTCATTTCATTTACATTGGGAAATAGAGAAACGATCATTGTGTTTTGTAGTTTTAAAAACTTTTGATATATTAGTATTTTGCATTTTAAGCAGTCAACCGATTGACAAACTAGAATTATTTGAATTCCGTGTGGAAAGAGCTCGGGTTAATTTCGAGTGTTATCTGCAATCTAGATGTTTATAAATCATTTCAGTCGTTGATATAATAATTAAAGGTCGACTGAACATGAATTATATTATACAATTTAAAGCGCATTTCTGTTTATGCACGTGAACCCGTCTAACGTTATTTTCGCAGTTATATAAAGTAGCAAATTATCGTTCCTGAATAGGTGGCGCCGTGGTAGCGGATCCTGTTCCTCTTCTTCCGGTTTCTGCACTGTGCAACTATTTCAGTTATATTTTTAATTAAAGATGCCAAATACTTGTTGTTGTGTACCTGGATTTCATTTAAGAGGAGGACATGCATTTCCAAATGACTTAAAAAGAAGGAAAAGTTGGATCAACGCCATGGCCCATACGCAGATTGGACGAGAACACGATGATATCGTGGAGTCCATCTCAATCAGCTGTTGTTTGCAAGGCACGTTTTACTGAAAAAGACTACGTGCAGGAAACTACTCATGGTAAAACTCTATTTTCTTTGTGAAATATATAGTTATGTATGTAATCGCCATGCGAATAAACCAAAGTCTGTTTACAACCGCAATTATCGTTTTAGAATAAAAGGGGGTGGGTAATTCAAGACGTCATAATTTTTTGGATTACGATTCAATGTGATCTGTTGGAGATTTTTTGGTGATTGCTACAATTATAATGATTTCTTACAAGAGGTATATCATACTGAGAATTATTTTAGCAGTAATTATGCTAATCATGCTAATGTAGTAATGACAGGAATGCATAAGCTATGCCTCATAGACTTTCTTGAAAAATATCAATGACAATGTTAACAGGAACAAAACAATGACATGCTCTCATCTATATTATAGTTATTTAGGTACAAACAATGTACGTTTGTTGCATAAGTCTCTCATTGTTTGTCCTTTGGATTTACATAACATACATTGAATCAGGCAAACATAGTTTTATCCAGATTGTAATGAATAAATCTAGTTAATATTTCGCCAGGTAGTACAAAGTATACATTGCTAATGGAAGTTCATTTAATTATAAAAAAACTAATGTTTTATAACCTTTTTCAGGGCGCAAACCCACCATACAGAGACTTAAGTCTACTGCAATTCCCAGCCTATTTTCCTGGACCAAGCAAGAGACTGAATCGTCCGCAAAAAGAAAAATCAGGGCAGTTTCCTGTGAAAACAAAAGAACTAAACTTGATGAATATTGTAGTAGAAATCTAGAGGAAAGTTTTGATTGTAAAGTTGGTTTTCCTGAAGAAGTCATTCATACTGCAGAAAGGATTTATGACTGTCCACCACCAACTGCCGAGCTAATGTTGAGGTTCACAGATGGAATTACGCAAACACCATCAATGCCTATGTTTTCAGCAGAGAATTTTGAAATGAAGACACGTGACACAGCCATGCATTTTTATACCGGTTTAGAGTTGTATACTAAATTTTTATTTGTTTTGACCACACTTGGTCCAGCAGCACATTGTTTGAGATACATATATTTCAAATTGATAGGGTGTCAGTTGAAAATCAGTTTTTTTATGACTTTGATGAAATTGAGGCATCATACAACCAACTTTGAACTGTCTAGATTCTAGATTGAATCTAGTGTTAAGAATATTGTGTATACATGGATTGTTTTTATGTCTAAACAGTGGTGTGAGGCTAACACTTAGCCATCTAGTGGTTTAGTCAGGTATTTTTCACCATCCAACTTCAAATTAAAGTTTCCTACGACTTGGATTATTATTGACAGCACAGATTATCCCGTGATAAAACCTAAAGCTCCTAGAGCTCAGGCAACCTTTTCATCAAATAAAAACAGAAACACTGAAAATTCTTGAATGTTCGACACCTGGTGATTTAGTCAACTATGTCTCTATGTCACATAGAGCAAATTATTGGACTTGGCAAAACATACAAAATTCTAATATAAAATCCTATGAATGGAACTGAAACAAAACTTTCATCTGAAATAACATTTAGTTGTTTTATGTTGTGTAATTTTAGAACTTGTATTGTGCCAAAGGATGCATAAATAAAAGTGACGCAATGAATTTTGTTCTGATATATATATATTTACAATTACATGCACATGTAAATTGTAATGCATATAAAAATAAGGAGATGTGGTATGATATTCAGTGAGTTTATCAAACTAAAGTGCATAAGAAATGGGTTTAAGCAGTTACAGGTGTTACTGTCACCGTACTATCTCCAACAATGAGAAAAACTCGTACCGTGTAAAAAAATTCAGAGATCTTACAACTAAGTTTTGTTGTCTCACCTTGACTTTGGTGAATTTTTTATATCTGTTGATGTAAATATAAAAAAGAAGATGTGGTATGATTGCCAATGAGACAACTCTCCACACATGAACAAGAGATCAAATGACACAGAAATTAACAGCTATAGGTCACAGTACGGCCTTCAACAATGAGCAAAGCCCATACCGCACAGTCAGCTATAAAAGGCCCAGAAATGACAATGTAAAACAATTCAAACAAGAAAACTAACGGCCTATTTTATGTAAAAAAATGAACAAATATAACAAATATGCAACACATAAACAAACGACAACCACTGAATTACACTTTTGTAGGCTGCTGACTTGGGACAGGCACATACATGTACATACAGAATGTGGCGGGCTTAAACATGTTAGCGGGATCCCAACCCTCCCCCTAACCTGGGACAGTGGTGTAACAGTACAATATAAGAAAGAACTATAAAAATCAGTTGAAAGAGGCTAAACTCATCAGATGGATAAATACAAATACAAGTGGACGTGGTCAGGTAGTTGTACATCCAAACAACAAAAAGACACTAAGTACAAATCTGAGAGTACTCGCAGTTACTGACAGCTAGTTCAAAGCCACTAACAACTGATAAAAAAATCTGCATCTAAGACTAAATTATCAATCCGTAAGCTCCCTTTAGAATTTTATAAATTTTAGATTTTACATTTCTGAGTTAAGGGATTTTATTCATTAAAAAGGGGGGATTTTCCAGTTTTTGGACAACAACTCAAAAATGCTTTAAGCAGTTCACATGAAACTTTGGTGAATTATTTATAGCTATTGATGTAATCTCCCTATTGATTTTCATAAATTTCAAATATGACATTGAGAAGAAATTAACTTTATTTGTTTATAGTCTGGCAACAGATTTATTAAGTATTGCACAACAGCACAGTGTATTGCACAACAACAAGAAATCTTTAATTGAATATAAATTCAATTCATATAACCGATTTCAAGTTCATTGACTACATTTATTCAGAAACTATAATATGTCAAATATTTAATTACAATCCAAATTCAGACCTGTATCAAGCTTGAATATTGTGTCCATTTTTGCCCCAGCTGTTCAGGGTAGTACCTCTGCGGGTGTATCCAGCTGCGCTCAGCGAATCAGTTTATTTCTTAATAAGGAACTCCTTTTTATACGACCGCAAAAAAATTTTTGTGGTCGTATATTGGTATGACGTTGGCATCGTCGTCGTCCGAAGACACATTAGTTTTCACACTCTAACTTTAGTTTAAGTGAATGGATCTCAATGAAATTTTAAAATAAGGTTCAATACCACAAAGGGAAAGTGGGGATTGATTTTGGGGGTTATGGTACTAACAGTTAAGGAATTAGGGGCCAAAAAGGGGCCAAAAATAAGCATTTTTGTAACTTCCAGACATAACTTGTGTGTAAGTGTATGGATCTCTCTGACATTGTACCACAAGGTTCCATATCACAAAGGGAATGCTGGGATTGATTTTTGGGGGTAATTGCCTCCAAATTTTAGGAATTAGGGGCCAAAAAGAAGCAAAAAACAAGCATTTTTCTAGTTTCATGACAATAACTTGTGTGCAAGTCTATGGATCTCTCTGACATTGTATCACAAGGTTCCATATCACAAAGGGAATGCTGGGATTGAATTTGGGGGTAATTGCCTCCAAATTTTAGGAATTAGGGGCCAAAAAGGGGCAAAAAACAAGCATTTTTCTAGTTTCATGGCAATAACTTGTGTGTAAGTGTATGGATCTTTATGAAATTGTACTACAAGGTTCCATATCACAAAGGGAAAGCTGGAATTGAGTTTGGGGGTAATTGCCCAAAAAGTATACGAATAAGGGGCCAAAAATAAGCATTTTTCTAGTTTCCAGACAATAACTTGTGCTCAAGTGTATGGATCTCTCTGAAATTGTACTGCAAGGTACCATACCACAAAGGGAATGCTGGGATTGATTTTGGGGGTAATTGCCTCCAAATTTTAGGAATTAGGGGCCAAAAAGGGGCAAAAAACAAGCATTTTTCTAGTTTCATGACAATAACTTGTGTGTAAGTCTATGGATCTCTCTGACATTGTATCACATGGTTCCATATCACAAAGGGAATGCTGGGATTGATTTTGGGAGTAATTGCCTCCAAATTTTAGGAATTAGGGGCCAAAAAGGGGCAAAAAACAAGCATTTTTCTAGTTTCATGGCAATAACTTGTGTGTAAGTGTATGGATCTCTATGAAATTGTACTACAAGGTTCCATATCACAAAGGAAAAGCTGGGTTTGAGTTTGGGGGTAATTGCCCTAAACGTTTAGGATTTTGGGACCAAAAAGGGGCCAAAAAACAAGCATTTTTCTAGTTTCCAGACAATAACATGTGTTCAAGTGTATGGATCTTTCTGAAATTGTACTGCAAGGTACCATACCACAAAGGGAAGGCTGGGATTGAGTTTTGGGGTGATGAATCATAAGGGGGTTCAAAAAATTTGGGGGGGATTCTTTTTCCTTTTTTTTCTTTAAAATTTTCCATTTTAAATTGGTTATTTCTGATTTATATATAAAAGCAAATAATAATGATATGGTTTGAATAGGTAAATTAAATTTTAGTATCTTAGACCACTTTCATTCTGTGTCAGAAACCTATGCTGTGTCAAATAACTAATTACAATCCAAATTCAGTGCTGAATCAAGCTTGAATGTTGTGTTCATACTTGCCCCAACTGTTCAGGGTTCGACCTCTGCGGTCGTATCAAGCTGCACCCCAGCGGAGCATTTTATTTCATTCATAAATTACTTTATGCTTGGAAATATAATTTTGCTTGGAGTTGAAAGAGTTGACATGTTGCAATGTACATTTACTCTACATAGTTCTATGGTACCAAATCAAAAGTTTATATAAAGAAAGAAGTCAAAGGTTTCCCATCATAGTTTAGTTACATACATTTTTTTTGTACCTGAGGTCGTTGAATATAGATCATTATATAAATAAGGAGATGTGTTATGATTGCCAATGAAAAAACTAAGGATTTTCTTATCCAAGGAATAGATTACCTTAGCCGTATTTGGCACAACTTTTTGGAATTTTGGGTCCTCAATGCTCTTCAACTTTGTACTTGTTTGGCTTTGTTACTATTTTGATCTGAACGTTACTGATGAGTCTTATGTAGACGAAACACACGTCTGGCGTATTAAATTATAATCCTGGTACCTTTGATAACTAATTTGACTATAAACATAGATAAAAAAGGTACAAACTGGACATAATGCACTAGTTCATAAACAAGTGAGAACAATCGCCTTCATATAGTGCTCAGAATATGACATTCATAAAACTTATTCAATATCATTAGAGAACTCTAAATCTTAAATACTGAAAGCCACCTCTGATAAGTACACTGTACTATGCAAGATAATGATATAACTGGACTTAAAATACACACAACCTGTAATTAACTGCCTTTACAGCGCTTTCGTGCTTTGATTTTTACAGTTAACACTTAGATTCAGTCTGAGGTTAAAGTTTTTCAGTCATCAATAACTTTGTCAAACCTTCATGGAATCTTATAAAATTTGGACAGAAGCTTGATTATGACCAAAATACAGTATCCAGAGCAAAACTTTGAAACAAATTATTTTCATTTTTCCGTATTTTACTGATGAATGGACTTAGTTTTTTTTTACAGTTCACAAGTAGATACAATTTAGGGTTAAAGTTTTTTACACATCAATTAATTTGTCAAACCTTCATAGAATTTTATGAAACTTTGGCAGAAGCTTTTTTATGATTAAGAGATAATGTCTGAAGCAAACTTTTGAAAATATGTTTTCATTTTCAGTATTTTTCTGATAGATGGACTTAGTTTTTTACAGTTAACATTTACAGACAGTCTGGGATTAATTTTTTTTGACATGATAAATTTGTAAACCTTCATGGATTGTTATGAAACTTGGACAGAAGCTTATCTTCAAGACCAAGAAATAGCATCTAAAGAAAAAGTTTGAATTTTTTTTTCAATTCTGTATTTTACTGATAAATGGACTCACTTTTTAAGTCAACATGACACTTTTACACTGACAGCAGCAATCGTAGGCGAGACACAGGGTTCTGTGGAATCCCTTACAAATTTTTGATGCTTTAATTGCAATTATTATTTGATGAGCTCAGGGTACAATTTTTTAGCATTCTTCTTTTACTTATATATGCACTATGACATGAGTGTTCATGTATGTTTCGTTAAGGATTGAAGGATATTTTAGGGTTAGGGTTTTGAATGATGGATGACATGGGAATAGGTCAACTGTGTAGTTTTATGATAGGTTAAGAATCTTTTTTTGTAGCATATGCTATTTCTTTGTAGCAACATTCGAGCAGCTCCTGCATATGGAGTATATATCTCCCAGTTCATATGATATTCCAGAGCTTGCATTTGCGATAGAGGGTTGCTGCTTACAAGGAAAGCTACTAAACCAAGGGTTAAAAATGGTAAAGTTGAAGCCATCCCTTAAAAAGTTTTAGGGATGGCATCAGGAGTTGATTGACCGTTATGGAAGATCTGTGTCACAGATGACCACGGATATGTTCCAATTGTAACCACAGTGCTTTTATATGACATCACCTCTCATCACCATATATGTACTTACCATGAGCAACATGACAGGTGCCACTACTGGAGCAGGTTCTGCTTAACCTTCCTTAGTACCTAGGATAAACCCAATTGTTTTGTGGTGTCCTCTTTACTCAGTGTTAAGTAGTGTTTTATGAACTTGTTGCTTTTTTTAATGTCCCCTGTGGGACGCGTTGAGAGGGGGGGGGGACATGGAAATACTAGGTCTTGTAAGCACTCTCATGTGTTCAATTCTTGCCAGATTTTTGTTAAAATTATATCAGAGGTTTATATCAGCATTGTCTGGGACAAGTTCCAAAAATCAGTGCTAATCAACTTTTTTTTAAAGAGTTATGGCCCTTGTAAATATTAATTATATGGAAAATTCCATTGTAAGCACTTTCAAGCCTACATTTCTTAAGATATTAATCAAAAAGTTTTATAAAGAATTTTTTTTTTTTTTTCGTTATTGCCCTTGGACAGATTAAATATGTTCAATACAGAGGACATTGGAACTCTGTTTTTTATTGTCATTCCTATTTTGGTATGGAGTTGTCAGTTTCTCTCAACTTATGACTTATGAGTTTTGAATGTCTCCTTGGTATCTTCTGCCTCTACTTTTATAGTAAGTTTAAAGAAAACCCTGCTTTTTAAGAAAGCTTTTTTTTGTACAGCACTTTTGTTTGTTATGTATATAACTAAACATTTCATGTGTTACATTTTCCAATTCTTATAAATATACTTTATATGAATCAATGTTTTATTGGTGATATTTTTTCAATGCCTAGTATTTTTTTTTTTTTTTATATATTTTACAACATTTAAACTATTTAATCCGTTCTATGACACTGCCAGTAATATTTTACTTTATTCATGTGTCACTATTTGTTTTATTACAATAAAGATACATATTTCCTTCTGATAGTTTAAAAGACAATTTATCTTATGTCCATTGAGATAATAGGAACACATGTATTAAGGGTATGTTTGTACAAAAGTATGGTAAGGCCACTTGTTTGCCCTGATTTAGAAACCAAACCCTATTATAAATCTTATCAAATAATTTTCACACAACATATAGTATTATGCAATAAGTATTTGTCACCCACAACTAGCCCTGAGATGAGATGTGGCCGAGAAACATCCTTGATAATCTGTTTATTGCTATTTTGCCTATAACGTCGTTAATTTTTACATTGACAACAGCACGTGCGCTCTTAGTTTCTGATGATAATTTTCTATCTCAAGCGAGTAGCATGATATGAAAAATTATCACAAAAAAAGATCAAAGGAAAAATACACAAAATAGCGATAATGACTCTTATCATATATCCTCTAGTCAAAGTATATACCACCTTCAAATCAAATCTATTTTTCCCATGATCTGATGTAGTATTTATGTTAAAGTTTTTAAATTTTGTACATAAATTTACTAATTTAGATATCCCTCTTTGATGGATTTTTGTTTCAAATTTCAAAAGCAATAATAGATATACCCTTTGATACATGATTATACCTGTTTTATATTGGTTATATGAATTTTTAAAACTTGGGAATGATAGAACATACATTATATTGTGCTTAACATGCATGTCTATTAGACATTTGTTGTATTTGGTGTTGTTTGTTTAAATTAAAAGTATCAACAAGACTCATACTGTATCTTTCAAACACAAGTCATGGTGTTAATGGCCATTATATGTACTGATTAAATATCAGGAGCTGCACATTCATGGTAGATAACTTGGCAGAATTACTGTTTTACATTTATTATACCCCCGCTTTAAAAAAAGGGGGTATACTGTTATACCATTGTCTGTCCTTCCGTCAGTCCATCCATCCGTCAGTCCGTCCCATGAATATTTTTCGTCGCATTTTTTTCAGGAACTACTTGACAAGGATTTCTGAAATTTGGTTTCAGGGTTTATATAAGTAAGTTACACCGTGTGATGCGTTTTCAGATTCATCACTCAACAACTTCCTGTTTACAGAACACTTGTATTATTTTACACATGATAGCCAAGTTGAAAATTTTCGTCACATTTTTCTCAGGAACTACTTGACAAGGATTTCTGAAATTTGGTTTCAGGGTTTATATAAGTAAGTTACACCGTGTGATGCGTTTTCAGATTCATTACTCAACAACTTCCTGTTTACCGAACACTTGTACTATTTTACACATGATAGCCAAGTTGAAAATTTACGTCACATTTTCTCAGGAACTACTTGACAAGGATTTCTGATATTTGGTTTCAGGGTTTATATAAGTACTTTACACAGTGAGATGCGTTTTCAGATTCATCACTCAACAACTTCCTGTTTACCGAAAAATTTGTATTATTTTACACATGATAGCCAAGTTGAAAATTTTCGTCACATTTTCCTCAGGAACTACTTGACAAGGATTTCTGAAATTTTGTTTCAGGGTTTATATAAGTCAGCTATACCATGTGATGCATTTTCAGATTCATCATTCAACATCTTCCTGTTTATCAAAATATTTCGGCGGGGGTATCATCAGTGAGCAGTAGCTCACAGTTTTACTTGTTATACCTCAAACAAAAAGCTTGTGGACTGATGATGGCATAGGGTCTGGTGTTTAACAATCATTTTGTCTGTGTAACTATATCATATTCATGGCATACATAACAATTATGGGGGGGGGGGGGGGGGGAGAGAGGATTCATATTTTTTTTTCAAAATTTTTCAAATTTTGAATTCTTTAAAAGTTTCAAGAAGAAATCTTCAATTGCACAGTATTGGGCAATAGATTTGTCAGATCTTTGACCACATTTATTTTGTGTCAGAAATCTTTATTATGTCAAAAATTTAATCACAATCCAAATTCAGACAGTATCAAGCTTGAATATTGTGTCCAAATTTGTAACAACTGTTCAGGGTTCGACCTCTGCGGTCGTATCAGGCTGCGCTCAGCGAAGCATTTTATTATTATTCCTGAGAAAGATGCGACGAAAAATATTCATGGGACGGAAGGACGGACTGACGGATGGACAGATGGACAGACAGAGGTAAAACAGAATACCCCCACTTTTTTAAAGCGGGGGTATAAGTAAACATTAACACACACATAACAACTGTGACATCTACCTTCAAAACACACAACTTTAAAAAAAAGTTATAAAGAAATTTTGACAACTCCTGACTAAAATCAATTGAACAGATACAATCATTGATAGACCATCTATCCATATACTTATTAATTACACCATTTCTGTTCAAAGGGAAATAACTCAAAATAAAAACGAGACCAAATGACATAGAAATTAAAAACTATAGGTTATTTTACATTATTTCTGTTCAAAGGGAAATAACTCAAAATAAATAAATCCTATAATCCGGTTAAAAATTCAAAGTATAGGCAAACAGGAAGTCGGTAGCTGGCAGGGCTGAAAAAAAGCTCACAGGTTAAAACTCATCAAAGTCAATCTGCTGACCAAAACTGAGGTAATTCTGTTAAGTAATTGCTAAGAAAAGTGTGATGGAAATATTTGTTGGACAAACAGACAGATATGTTGAATGCAATTTAGCCCCAACCCCTAGATTAGGGGTATAATAACTTCATGCTAATAACTAGCGTTTTCAAAAGAATACCCTGCTAGCTCAACAAACCTGAACATGCATGAAATATTTGCCACTGGACATTAAGCAACCAGCAATCGATCAATAAACTGTTGACACAGAGATATGTGTCCCCTTTTTTTTTATTTTGATTATAAAATGCAAATGTAAAAATTAAAATGGCAATACTTAAACATGTAAAATCTGTAAAATATTCAAAGTCAATGAACCATGACTAAAGGTGCAGGGCCCAATAATCTCTTTGGAAATGAGATATTTCAATGCCTTGACAGCTGCATACCAAATTCATTGACTTATCATATGAGGTTTCCTTTAAACTGACCTAATCACAAACTTTTAACATGTGAACTATGCAAAAGTTTCAAAGTCAATGGAAGAAAACTGATAATAAATAATCTCCATGAGATGAAATGTGCCAATGCTAATACAACTGCATACCAAATATCATTAACTTACCATTAGTGGTACGTCTTAAACTGACCTAATCATCTTTAACATATTGTTAACAGAAAAGGCCAGAAACAGCACACATAAGTCTGTCCTTTGTGATTTCATTGAGGCAAGAAAAAAAGTAAAGAAAATATTTTGAAACTGCACTTTAATGGGATAACATACAGGGAAATAACAAGAGAACTACCGGTAGTAACAACCATTAATAACATTTAAGTACAATGCTAATTAACGTATAGTATAACAATGACATGATTTAAAATGCATGGCCAAATTAACGATGAACAAGCACTATAATGTGACAAAATTTAAATACAGGTAATACATTGTAATTAAAATTAAAATTCCTTTCTCATGACAGTATATAAATTTGAATAATTATTGATTCACTTTTGATACATATTAATAATTTTTTTTAATTAATAACCTAAATCATTTAGTTTTTTTTTTTCCTTTAGCTTCTTGTTTCACTTTTTAGATATTGAGTCTTTTACTTATGAATTTCAGATTTCTAAAAGATAATTACATGAATGGTGTGATAAATAACTTTCCTCTTAGAAACAATTTCAAAGGAAGCTGTTACTGCAAGAGTAAGGTCTTACAAATAAAAGTCCATAAGCTAATTCCCAAATTATTTTTTCACAAAAGTACAGGAGCTAGTTGTGAAGGTTTTTGTTGCACACTTCCATTATATGAAAAGGGAGTTTAATATCAATCATTTCTAGATGCAGTAACAATCAAGTATTCTCTCAGGACAAAATTTAGCTGTAGCATCAAAAGATACAAAACTAAATTAGTTGACTGATTTTTACTGAATACATGATAAATGTAAAGGATTTATAAGCTTTTAATACCAATAATGATATACATTTGTTTATAGTATTAAAAGTTTCTTATCATTAATATATATGATACATGTGAGAGTCAGTTTAAAACCTCTTTTTGATTTTTTTAACATGATTTCAGAAGCTCTTGATAAATTCTGCATTAACAGTTGTATATTAACATGATTAATATTCAATTTAATGATAGGGCAAAACAACATTCACAATAAATGAGCATTTCATTTCAGATCTAAAATGTTAACATAAAAAACTAAAATCAACAAGTGCATTTTCATGTATTGTACATGTACACAGTATTTACAATTCTAAACAATCAAAAAGAAATAAATTAGGCAACACAAAATTAATTTTATGGTTCTCAGGCCATTTTTTGAAACCAGAGGAGTAAGAAAGATAATTTTTCCTTTCCTTTCATTGGTAGATAGATGATAATTTTGGTCAAAAGTCATTAAATCTCGACATTCATGACTTGTTCTTAATAGAATGCGCAAATTGATGTTTAATCCTAATTGACAACAACGACATAAAGGCTTCTTCAAAATTCTATATTTGAATTAATTTTCCAATCTAATGCTTATATTAACATGATATAATCTTTGTCAGAACAATGAGTAAAAACATTCGAGTGATTGAACTGATTTAATGTAAATTTAGAAATTATTGCATGCATTTATCATTGCGATTTCCGAAGAATGAACAAAATGCAAGATTAATTATTGCGATTTTAAGTAAAGCTGAATACATATGTATGTATCTGACATCAGCATGCGAGTTCTTATTATTGCAATACTCAACCATTTGCAATATTCGCATTAATAAAAACCTCGCAATTATGAATAATTTCTGAATTAAGTCTTCAGGACCCCTCAATTGTTATTTAAAAAACATATATTACATATGTTGAACAAGAATTCAAATATTTTTTACAAGATATAAAACCACATTCTGGCAGCTGAAAAAGCATATCGTATGAGTTGGCCCGAGAACAGTAAATCTAATCTTTATTGACCTTATTAACAAATTTAACAATTACTTCATATGCCCTAATATTTTCTAAATAAATCTAAACAACTAGAAAGCTACTTAACTAATATTTTTATGTATTTACACCATAATCTGTTGCATCTAATATCTTTTACATTTAATATGTTATCATGGTTTATTAGGCTGTTTGTTAGCCTATTTAAAGGGTCGTTCTATATTAGACCTTTATATATATTTTCCTTTACAAATCTGAAGAATACCTGAAGACTAGAAGTGGTATCGGAGTATGTTGCTGCCCTTAATTATCACTCAGTGTAGAATTGTTGTCTAGTTAACAAAAAATCCTTTCATGGAATGTTATACTCCTATTCTACCTGAAATTTCAAATGTATTATGATGTCTTAATCTTTTTATGCAACTGTCATTCAAGTGAGAGGTTTAGCTAGCTATAAAACCAGGTTTAATCCACCATTTTCTACATAAGGAAACGCCTGTACCAAGTCAGAAATACGACAGTTGTTTTCCATTCATTTGATGTGTTTGAGCTTTTGATTTTGCCATTTGATAAGGGACTTTCCGTTTTGAATTATCTTTGGAGTTAATTTGTTAATTTACTTTTAACCACAAATGAAGTACAATATAAAAGAAAAGTCAAAATGCTATAAATAGATGGACAATTCTGAAATGTATTGAAAGACAATTTGTACAAATGTATAAGTGTGTATTTACATATGACATAATCATGATCATTCAACAGACAATTGACCAGAAGCTGTGTAACATATTAAAAATTTAATTATTTGTTAAGAACTATTTTTTTTTTAGATATTTACCAATAGCTAATTTTAGACAACCCCACTTTTCTTTTCCCAGAATTCTCTTAAACATCTGAGTCATTACAATGAATAGATAGCCTCTATAAAGATACATACATGTAGTTTGTGTCTGTCAAGTAAAGAGAGATAAATCAAAGTTTAATATGAAATTATTATCTCCCTTTACAAGTTTGTCTCAAAATATAAAAATAATGAGATGTGGTATGATCCCCTATGAGACAAGTATGATGTAGAAGGTATAAACTGTGGCCTTCAACAACACATAATGTAAAGTCAGTATCAAGTTAAGTTTTTCCTTTCCTGTCCATTCAGTCAGTCTTAATTGACCAAATATTCTGAACATTGACAGGAGATATAATTTTTACATGTACATGTATGACCACACAGTTGTTTTTTTTTAAACATGTTGCACAATTCAAAAAAGTGGAGCAAAGAACAAATTTGCTAAAGTATATATGTTTTTTTTTAGATCCTCTGTTAACTACGGTTGATTCTGATATGTTCCCAATTCCTTGAAAGTCCCAATCATCAAAAATGTTTATTTTCTTGTAATATTTAATCAATCATTATATATTATTTTTTAAAGATCCAAAGAAATTATCAAATGAGTTGAAATGAATTACTTTCTACTCATGCTAATATAGCTCATTATAATTGCATTTAAAATATTTCCATCACAAACATGTACTTTAGCCAGGAGCTGATCAAATTCGGTTTCAAATTTTAGCAAAAATGTACATTTTGCTGACTGTTTATGTTCAAGAACATATCAGAATTTCCTTAGGTTATTGAGTACAGCATTTGCTTGATAGTACTACAATGTGTATAAAATGAAAATCATAATTTTTTTTAAAAAAAAATAGACATTTGCTAAACATGCTAAAGGGAGACAAATAAATGGTCTGAAGAATTGAAAGACCTTAGAGTTTGGTCTGTATCAGAGTCAAAAGATTTCCTTGGATTTCTACAGCCTCTACATTTACACCTGATACAGGGCAACTTCTTCACATAACATGGACATCTTTGACCGAGACATGTTAGTTGACTTGAAGTTCCTCCTCTTCCACATTTGCAAACTTTGAATTCATTTTCACCAAATATCAATTTTAATTTCTTTATTGAGGGTTCTATACTTGTACACTTGTCAACCTTCACAGTATCATCAAAATTTCCCTTCAGGGTTTCACAATCACTGCCAAATCTTGTGTCATTGAACTTGTCAACTTTCTTTGCTCGAAGTTTAACTTTTAATTTTGGTCGACCCTCATCTATGCTTTCCCTCTTTATCTCATATTTTATTTCACTAGATGGTATAACATTGACAAAATTTTCATTACGTTGAGAAAGTTTTGAATTCTTTATGTTATTTCTCTTAAGTGGTACTTTCTTTTTAGGTTTTGTATACCATTTATATTTTTTTAGTCTGATTTTTTTTCTGTGTGATTTCTTTTCTATATCCATTTTTATTTTGGGCTGAATGTTCAGCTTTGATTTACTTTTCATAGGTTTGTCCTTTGAATCTGTTTCTGATTCTGCTGGTTGCTCTACTGTGGATGTTGGAACCTGGGAAGGCATTGTAATGGGGATCACTGGTGGTGACTGATAATCATCCTCAAAATCAACACCTTCTTCCAATATTGTAACTAAAGAATTTGTTTCTCCATTGTGTGCCTGCTCTTGGAGGTCCGTGCCAATAGGAGAGCTCATAACATATTCACAAATTTTCTTAAAACAAGAAACAACCATTCGAAGTTGGGTTGATTCTTCAAAACTTTCTCGTTTTTTACACCAACTACATTGTGGCTTAATTGTCATTGGTTTTTCGACACATTCCTTGCAAACGAAGTGCTGGCATACTTTATGACTAGGTCCCATCGGGATTTTAACTATGTTTCTACACACACAACATGACAACGCCTGACGTAAATATGGGAGATATCGATACAGTTCGCTCCATGAATCACGATCAGCGAAGTTTGCTTGCATGACATACTTGGAAGTTGATAGATAAAACTTTAAGGCATTCATTTCTTGTTAACTGTCATGTTTATAATCCATGATGGGTTTGTGGTTAGCTAGTTTGTTGAAAGGTTTTCAATTTCCCTGACAGATGCGACATTCAAATGTGTACAAGTTTTGATGACGTCACAAATTATTGACTTCTTTGCAAGGGAGATAATATTTCTCTATTTGGACATGAAAATGGGGGAGTGTTGGGGTAATCAAACGTTACAAAATTTCAGATCTGTGAAACCGTTTTCGAAAAATCGAAATATCAATAAAACATATGAAATTATTTGATGCATTCTTCTTCTTTCCTCTATATCTTCCTCCAATAGTTGGAGTACACCAACCTTACTGAATTAAGGTTGGTTAATCCTTATAAAAATTATTATTTTAAAAGTGAATACCTTACTATTTAAAAATAACATTATGTACAGTTAAATCCCTGCAAAGATAATAATAATAACTTCTATGTACATTAAAAATGGGTCACAGTTTAAAAGTTATTAATAAAATTAAAAAAAAAAAAAAAAAAAAGTTTTCAACGAATATTATTTACAGGGCATGCATTATAGTAAAAAATCTTTACATTCACTAAACAATGTTACTTAAAGGTAAAAAATAACGAGTTTTCAGCTTCCTGCCTGCTACATGCTGGAGCTACTACATCTGTCTATGAGCACTACTAGGCGATATAAAATCAATAAAATCATGCATATAAGCTTATATGTCCAATGCGATCTAATTATGCATAGCCATTATCTATCTGTTATATATATATATATATATGTGAAGCTACTGGGTATTAACGCTAACGGTAAACATGTACATTTATTCCAACTATAGGTATAGCGCGCCACAACCACACTGACCAGTTATTCTAATATTTCATGGATTTTCTCAGCATTTAATTTTACGTAAAGGATTGATAGGTTTAGCGCGGAACACCCACACTGACCTAGTTGTTCTGTCCAAAAACCTTTATGATGACTTTAGATTAAAGATAAACGTTGTTTCAGTTGTTTCATTTTACGGAGTTAAAGAAAGCAATTGAAGGTAAAGCGCGGAACAGCCATATTAACCTAATGAAGATTTAAACATTTAGATTTTCGCAGCATTTAATTCTGTGTAAAAGATTGATGTTAGGTTTAGCGCGGAACACCCACACTGACCTAGTTGTACTGTCGAAAAAGCATTAATGATTATTCCTTAGATTGGAGAAAAAAGCCATGTTTTATTTTATGAAGTTGAAGATAGTTGTTTAAGGTATAGCGCGGTACAACCACACTGACCTAATGAAAACTAGACATTAAGAGAACTTAAGACACTCTTTTTAGATGGAGTCTATAACATAAGTTCCTGCTTAATTCTTCTATTGAATTAAGAAAAAGGTCATCATGAGGGAGAATATTGTTTAGAGCCAGTTGCTGACAATCCAAAATTAGTTGGGCAATACAAGTTCTCTCGTGAAAGTTGGAATTCCAGTTTCCTAGCCCAATTTTACTGATGGTAATTCTTTTGAAAAAAACTTAGAGATTCTCTGCGTATGCCTTCCAGAACGGTACAGCGAGTGAGAAAATGGATGATATCTTCTTCTTCCAGTTGACAAATTGGGCAAGTTGCATCAAGGTTAATATTTGAGAAACGAGCTTTCTGTGATTGAAATATATATGTCCCTGTGCATAGCCTTGCTTTTATTGTTGCTTTCCTGAGTTCGCAAAAATTTGATTTTGTTGTTGAAACAAGTGTGGACCTTGATTGTTAGAGTTGGTATGTTGGGTCCATGTTGGTTGGTGGTTGGCAAATTGATTTTGTTGGTTTAGTTGCCTAATTTGATGGTTCATTGTGGCCATACTCTGTTGTATCTGTAAGGCAATTTGCGTAGTTAGCGCAGAGCAGATGGATAAATTTTGGGTTGATTGAGCTTCCATTGCTCCAATTCGAGATTCAAAGGCCTGTATTTCCATATGGTGCATCCTTTCATATATGTTAAAAGGATCTATTCTATGGCAATTCTGGTTGATTTGTTGATATTGGTTGTTGGGATCCATGCTGTTGTGGATATGCCTTTCTGCATCGTAACTGCTATTTTGTGTTTTGTTGGTCAAAGATTCTTTCTTCTGAAGAAGTTTTATTGTTTCTCTTGGTCCTTTAGCTTTTGTTCTTATTCTGTAACGTAACCATGTAGCTCCATATCCCGGTTATTTGTACCGGTTTTTGGTCTTAAAGTGGTTTTAGGTTTTGTTGAAGTTGACAAGTTAGAAGTTTTTGCTATTTTATTTATAGTTATACTATTGTTGCTGTTCAGAGTATTATTGGTTTCCTTCATATAAGTTACTTCAGACTGAATATTGGTGGTTTCTTCGAAAGGAATTTGGTCAATCGGAATATTGATTGTTTCTTTTGCAACAGAGTGGTCAATAGGAGTGTTGATGTACATGCAATGCTCAAGTGCAGTTTGGTCACTCTTATTCTTGCTATACTCTTTGGTTGACATTTGGTCATTAACACTTTCAGCTTGGTTTGAGTGGTTCGACAAGATTGGATTACTTTTTCTCATAGTGGATGAATTTGGTTTGGTAACTTCAGTGGTTGATGTTTTAATTAATGAGCCTGAAGGTTGGTTTTCATGGGCTTTTGCTAGTGAAGGTAATATGCCAAGATTTAGATGCAATGTACGGTCATCATTATAAAGTTCGTTCTCATTACAACCATTGCATATGTAAGGTACGTTTGGGTCAATCTTGTTTACCTTGCCTTTTGTTAAACCAACACAGCTATAGTGGAACCAGTGATCACAACTTTCACATTCTATGGTGTCTTTATCTGCTTTACCATTGCATACTGGCCATAAATATTCTTGTTCCTGATCTAGATCAGATTTCGATGTTATTGGGTGACACGGGGAGTCAATAAATGAAGCTCCCTTTGTGTGTGTTTGGTAACTGTCATGATCATCAGTTTGATTTCTGACAACATTGCTGTGACTTATCACTTGAGTAATTTTGTTGTTCATATCACAAATAGTGTCTTCATTTTGTGACAGATAGTTTTCAATTTGCGGGAGGATAGTTTCCATAAATAAGTCTGCCTTGGGTCCATTAACTAGTGCAGATGACTGTGAGTGTTATAAATTTATGGTATATTTCTGGTATGCCTTAGCATGATCATGCTTTTGGGCAGATACTTTAAGCCTTATCTCTATTTCATGGCCTTTTTTTATCTTTTACTCTCTCTTTTAAGACTGAAAATGTCTAAAAAGCCATCCCCCTCTAGTATATCAAAAAGCGTTTGTTTAAAGATTAGATATGATGATGTGTTAAGTTGAATACAAAGATTTTTCTTTTGTTTCATTTCATATCTGATCATAGAATCTGAGCAACCTGATAGTTTCTTGCTGATAGCCTTATTAACATTGAGTTGGTAGTCTTTCTGTAAAGTAGGTATTTTATTATCAACATGATTTGGTGTTGGATCCGATCTCCTTAGATTTGTATTAGATCTTTGACTGCGACGCAGTGATAGAGACTGACTATTGCCCACCTCATTACTAGTGCTACTGTTTGCCATTTTATGCTAGTGCTGTTTTTAATCAAAAAAGTTTTTATAGAGGGTTTAGCGCGGAACAACCACACTTACCCAGGGTAAATTGTGCGTGTTTGCTTTTTAGATAGATTTCAGCCCAAGATTTTGTTATTTTCCTTCTATGATAAGTTATAGATTAACCACCCTTACCACAGGTGAGATTTGACAAGTTAATTTTGTTTGCTATTTAGATAATATATGAAAGAGATGCTTTGTCCACCAAGATTTTGCTACTCCACTATTTAAATGATGCGGTATAGCGCGGTACAACCACACTTACCCACGACCAAGAAAACTGAGATATGCTTTGCAAACCCAGGTTTTGCTATAACACAACTTTGATAAGGTATAGCGAGGCACAACCACACTTACCAGGGGAAATTTGTTTGTTTGGCCTTACTTTATGAAGAAATACTGGAGTATGCTTTAATTGTCAGCCAAGATTTCCTTATCCTCTACTTAAATGACAAGGTATAGCGCGGTACAACCACACTTACCAGGGATCAGGAAGATAAAGTGGAAATATACTTTATTAACCAATGTGTGCAGTTATGCTACTATAGTTATGATTACTGGGTATAGCGCGGTACAACCACACTTACCAGATGATATAAAATGTAAACTTGTTAGCTCAGCATTTATTGTTTAAACGAACTACTTTTAAACATAAGTATATATATAGACTCATACAGTTTTTGTTATAACATGGATTAATCTTGTAGGATAGTTGATGGCTGGTTATATCTGATTTGATGATGATAGGTATAGCGCGGCACAACCACACTGACCTAGTAGATAAATGTTGTATTTTCTTTTGTAGACTTACAAGTAAATAATTTAGATGCTAGGTATAGCGCGGAACAACCACACTTACCGAGAGTCTACGATTTTAGTTTAGTTCCAGCAGTCTCTTATAATTCTCAGCGTGAATTTCTTTAACCAGACTTTTGCCAAAAGAGGAGTGGGGTGGATGCCGTCCCTATATATATTTGTGTTTAAATATTTCCTGGTTTTGTGTAGCCCTTTATCTTTATCCGTATGTGTACTGTATCTTGAAGTCCTGTATAAATCGTACGAGAAGTCTGGCGAAAAGTTGTTGAGAGTAGTATTTAAAAGTTTGATACTAGAATTAAGAGCTGAGACTTGGGTGTCAAGAATTTTGTCCTGTTCCAGAAATTCAATTGGGTTCATATGACCATGAGAATAATTCCACTTTCTTATGGAATATATTGGTATTTCAAGGGATGTTACTTTACACTGAGGATATGCGGATATAATTTGGACTATTAACTGAAAATTTGTTGTGATTTGCTCTACGATATCAGACGTGTCTTCGGAAGTTAAGTTTATGAGGAATGTAGAGCGGTCCAAAGTTGTTATGTCACAAGTACCTATCCAAATGTATAGCCAGATTCTATTGTATTTAAGTACTAAAGATTTGATGTTCTTTTCGAGCCACTTTACTGAATCACGAGATTTTGAGCCTTTGAAACACTTTCATACAATATTTCCTTGGAGTGGATGGAAAATGTTCTCTCTCAGGTATGTGCCTTT